TTAGAAAAAATCATTTTGTAATGGTCTTGCCCTTTGTTTGTCCCTGACTTAATGATTGCTTTACCACGGTTAATATTGTTGTTGTGATCAAATGCTGCTAACTGAGTGCGGACTACCATTCCAGGATATGAAAAATGCTCTCGCTTTGGGCAGTATTTCAGTAAAAGGGAATGGTAAACCTCCAACTCTCCTGTGTGACAAAACTCAGATAGATTCCGCAAGTCTTTTAGAAGCCTCTTGTCACAAATCACCTTCTCTGCAGCAATATATGCTTGTGAAGTAGGAGATAACCACTTCCGCTTGTTTGTCTTTCTGTTAATTGTTGGTAGCAACATTGATGACAATATGTGTTCCCTCTCCAGAAAGGCTTGTTATTGGTTAAGGATAGACTTCCATTTTTCCACCAATTCTTCTGCATTCTTGTTACAACTTGCAGAGCACCACCAAAGATGATTAGAAATGGACTTAATCCAATGGTCAAGTCATCATTTCCCTTAATGTTAGCTTTTGTTAGTTTTTTTTGTGACAGATTTAGACAAATTCCACACATCATATTGGTGATCAATATGAGGGTGTTTGTTTTTCATTGCACTGGCAATTTTTGTACCAAATGTGACTTAAAAAAGGGAAATTATGTACAAATAATAAGGAAACTATAAGTTCATACTTTACGTCAAGGAAACTACACCTAAATTTTATACACGAAAGGCTAATTTTACAATGGTTTTATGTAGGATTATTTTCTAACCATAATGAATCTAAATTACACAACCATGTTTTATTATTATTCAATGTTATTCATGGCAATAGACTGGTTTCACATCAGTAGAAACTGTTGTTAAGGTTGAATTCGGAGGACAAGCAAACGAAGCAAACGGCATTACAGCACATTTTCCAGACAAATAAGTCTTCGTATTTTTTAAAAAATAATATTAATCGATATTTAAATTCTATATGTAGTGCGGAAACTGTGCGACAATGGCCTTTATCGATGTGAAACCGTTTTATTAAAACAGAATACAAATAACCAGCTCAATACTTGCATGTAAGCTATAAAAGTTGCTTGTGTATATACCTATGAATAAAAAATTCTGAAGTTTCGAAAAGAAACATTTTGTAATTAGGAGACGCATTTTGACGCAAGTTTGTTATGGCTGTGCAAGACTTTACATAGAGCTTTGAGCAGCAATTGAAGATATGACGTCAAATACAAGCCGCTGACATGTTTCTGCTCCCACGCACAGGATGTCCTAGCTGCAGCATTTCAACTCATTTTTTGTGAAACTATTGAATCAAACAAACAAAAAAATTGCCGCAGATTTATTTTCACGGGACTGACAAAGTTTTAAGACCAACATTATGTGAGGGTGGAGTTCCCCTTTAAAATCCCCAATCACAAGTGATTTCAATAAAATATAATTGTGCAAATACAAAGATTAGCAACCCTTCCAATAATTGTGTCCCTGCATGCTACAGCATAGCTAGATAAACGCAATAGGCAATATGCTGTATTTATATGCTCAAATATGCATTGATTATCAGAATTTACTGTAAAGCTAAAATATTAATACAAATTGAAACATATCTTTTGCATTGAGTTATTGCTGCTTGAATTTTACAGAAAAATATATCTGACAATCGTCGAAATTTTCAGGCAGTCAAGTCTTTATAGTTAAATCTGCTGGAAAACGTGACATGAAAACACGAAATTATTGCAAATAAAGTTGCATAACTAAATTCCTTACAAATACCGAACAAATACCAATTCGAAATCGCACAATAAATCTCGGTGCATAACTAAATTCTTTACATACATGCATAAGTTCACATAGACTTGATTTGCTAGTATAATATTTGCAAAATTTCTTATGCCCGTTATATTGCTATAAATCGTGAAAGCTAAACCTGAAATGTTTGTTGAAACAAAATGGAAAGATGTAAAGCCTTTCAAACATCACAAGAGATCTTGAGGGAGTGATTTATGTTGCTAGGGTGATTGCATAGCATTATATGGTTGACAATGACTGCTTCAACCTACGCAACCAATCATTTTGCTTGAAATGAATAACAAGCAAAACTATAATCAACTTTCTAAATGATTTTATAATCATCAACAAAAAGCATTTGCGTCGCTCCTTTACAGTTATATAATTATTAATCTTTATGATACCAACGACAAACTTAAACATAAAATGATGTATTGAAGAGATACAAATTCTAAGAAAAGGTAAATTGTTCCTTTCAATTATTTTTTCCGAACTATTAAAAGAAAGTAATTTAGTAACGAAATCATGATATTATGTTTTTCAAATTGATAGCCCGATGGTTATTACGTTATGTCTAGGAAATTTTTAGAATTGGTTAAATCGTGTACTCTATAACTGTGTAACATGCGCTATATGTATTTTACTTCCGTGTGACTGCAATAATTTTTTAAACTCATTACTTCGTCTTTACTTTGAATTTGACATAAGGAAAAGGGTGTGATGGTTGGTGACGCATGTAAAATAGTTTAGTGTTACATATGTAACGTTTTTACGTAAAATCATTGTAAAAATTTTGAGATACTGGCGTAAATAGTAATAAATTGAATATTAACCTTGTAGCAACTTTAGTTTAAGAAGCAATTTTGTAAATCAATGAGGTGCTATTGGTGAAGCTTTTGATGCACAATTCAGTGGTTAGTATAAAAAGACTTTCTTTGAATCTATTATATGATGCAACCATATAAAAGTAATTTCTCATTCTTTTCTTTGTCGATTTAAAACGATTTTATCAAGTATTGAAAAAGCTATGTCAAGTTCAACTATGTATAAGTTCTGCCGCTTATTTTTGTAATCACTTTATTTTATAAGAATTAAACGTCAAATTAATTGTCATAAAGTGAATGCTTTGAAGCCAGGAGTATCCTTACATATTTGTGAATGTAGTTCGTTCAGGTTAGTGGAGTCCTAAGAAAGATGGCTGGTGTTGATGTTTACTGACTATTCGACAGCCTTAATGATAGTCATCTTTAGAGTCAAGTGAGGACGTTAAATTAGCTGAACCTGCTAACAAATACGGCAAACCTGACGTTTACTTCTCACTTGACTCTGAGGATGACTGCCGCTAAGGTTCTCGAAACGTCAGTCAACAACAACAAAAACAGTCCTTCTCAGGACTTTATTAACCTGGACGATCATCATTTACAAACATGTAAGTTATCGTCGTTAGTTTATGCTATAGAATTATTCCTGCAGGATTTAATCATCAAAGTTGCATCTTTAATAAGAAAGGTAAAGTAAACTATGAAAATATACCGATGGTGTTTATGAACGGGCTTCTCAGACGAGGTCTTATCATAGTCTAATTTTCAATTCATGTTATCGTTAACTGTGGATTTCACAGTTTCACTTTCACTTCCACTTTAACAAATAATTAAAATTTTCTACATATGCTTCCTACCGCATCAAACATTGAAAAAATTCAAAATAAAAAATTCTTTGATGAAGTTATGTTTGCATCAACTATTTCAAATAAGGTCAGCCCAGGATATTCCCCTTTATCATCAATTAGGCTAAATAATATTTGCAATGGATGCATAAAATATATAAACAGCACAAAATAATATTCAATCCAAAAGTTGATTTCTCTGTATTCGTCATGCCTTGTAGTTAATGTTTATTGCAATACAAATAAAATACATTTGAGTTATACATTTTTGTTAAAAGGTATTTAAGCGACAACATCCGCATGTTATTGCAACATTTATTCCAAATCTTGATTATCAAACTTTAATTTATGCTCCCATAATGAATCTGTATCCGTAGCTAGTTTTAATTTAGTTTTTTGGAGCTAGTAGCTACTTGAATAAACGGCTGACAATACAAATTCGAAATCGCACAATAAAACTCGGTCGTATTTACGCCCAAAAATATGCGATCTACCCACACTACACATAAATCACGATTTTTGCTAGTTGTTTTGCTAGTTTGCTAGTAATTTACGAAGATGATATATGTACCACAGTCGTTCCATTATTTCTGAGTTCCAGAACATCCTTAACATCATTACCATCCGCATTTCAGTCAGCATGGCTTAGCGGTACGCAACTGACCGCGTCTTAATACGAAGATTGTTTTTGAAATTCGAATTATTATCAAAAATTTGTCTAGTACACCTATAAACTATTAAATAACAACTGACAATAAATTATTTTTTACAACAATTTACAAAATGAAAAGAAATTTGCAGTTTATTAGAAATGGCTGTTATCTTAAATATGCTCTGTCTTTGAAATTTCATTATCAAAATACCCAGCTCTATAGAGAAATTTTCACTAGCACATTTGAATGTCGCCCAAAATGAATGTTTGTATTCTTAAGTACTTTCGGGCTTGTATCATGATCTTGCTTTTAACTACATGTATCCTCCACTTTAGCTGCAAATTTTTAATTTATATTCTCAAACAGCAAGCACAAAGCCTTTGATATACTAAATAAAGTCTAAACAAATTCTCACAATGTCTTTCCTCTTGTTTTGCTAGCTACTTATTACGTTCTGTAATTGTTTTGAAGAATTCATAACAAATATTCACTGTCATAGCGTTTATTTTTTGTCCATACACGTACTTAAGCTGCATGACCAAATTGCATTTTATTAGATTAATGCTTAAAGGGTTATAAGGAAATCTGGTCGCGTCAAGGTGAGAGCAAAGGACCGTGACTAAAATAACTAAAATATACTAAAAGAATGTCGATTCTAAACCAAATGTTGATATCTTAAAGCTATCCAACCGAGGCAATTTGTTTTGGGTTGAAATACAAATTAATAAGCGCTGTATTTTACTTTAGGATGTGATCAAACATAACTCAGAGATCTTTCGATATAAAAATAACAGTGCCACAAAAAATCAAAACAAAACAAAGGATGTCAGCTACAAACGATGAATACAATTGCCTACATGTTCATAACAATTCTAAAAAGACAGTTACCGTTTTCATTTATGAAGGGTATTCTCCAGTATGCAAATTTTCATCTGTTTCAAAAATACTCGAACCAGAGCAAAACTATCACTATTATAACAAAAAACCATTCAAGTTTGAGATTATTGAAAATAAGGAAAATAAAACGAAGGAAAAGTATCTAGGACCCGAAGAATGCAATGGCATCAGAGTGATCACAGTTAGTGATGATAAAAATTCATTAAAATGCTAGCAAATTGCCGTAAATGAAAAAGAAAAGAAAAGAATCGTTTGCCGAATGAAAAGAGAAAATGATTTGCCATCTGGAGACTTGTATGAGCAATTAGGATTAGACATGAGAGAAGTTCGTAAGATGGATGAAGATCAGCGAAAAAAAGCTATTCAAAAAGGATTTCTAAAAATGATTCTAATCTGGCATCCGGACAAACCTAATGGTGACAAGGAAATAGCCGACCAGTTAGTTCAGGCAAGAAATATTTTGCAAAATGATGAAATGCGAGCTCAATATCACAACCAAATCGACTTTAATCAGGGATGGTTTTCTATCAGACGATGGAAAACAATCTTTGCTCCTGAAATGGCTACTGAAGAACAATGGAAAGCTTTTCTCAAACGACTTGCTTTTCTTGGCTTGTCTTCTCTACTGGCTGTTGGTGGTATTGCAGCTACTGTTTGTACAGCTGGTTTAGCAGCTCCAGTTTTTGTAATATTAGGAGCCATAGCTGGAGGAGCGTTAACAGGTGCAGGTTTGCAATCTTTAGGGGAAACAGTAAGTAAAAAATCTGTTGTTCACGGAATAGACGTAAAGAACTGGGCAAAAAAAGCATTGATTGGTAGTGTTGCTGGCGCAATAGCTGGAGGTGCTTCAGGTGGCATCACTGCAGCTATGGTCGGCATTGGAAGTGCTGCATTACCATCAGCAGCCGTTTCTATTGGTCAATATGTTTCCATGGGAGCAGCGAATGGTGCTATTGGTGGAGCAATGTTTTCTTTGAGCTCTGATTTAGCAAAGAAAATAGTTGATGAAAAGGACATTTCTTTAAAGCAGTTTTTACTTCATACCCTTTGTGGTGCTTTGATAGGTGCAACAGCAGGAATTGCAGGAGGAGCAGTCACCGAAGCACTGGTCGACAGTGGATCAGTAGCTGCAGAACCCACATTAGAAGGGGATGCTGTTGAGCAATTTTCAGCGCAAGCACCAGGAAAGAATGTCTATGACGTAGTACGTGGGGTTGCAAAAAAAGCTACTATAGAAGGGACAAAATCTACTGCTAATGTGCCATACAAGTTTGCTGATGAACGACTAGATTCCTCAGTTGAAAATCGAAGATTGACGACGCACTTAGAAGAGGGAGCTCAAAATATTTTTCTAAATACTGTAAAGACAAGTATAATACAAGCAGTTGGTGCAACACAAGGGTATTCATTGTTAAATCAAATGAAAGAAGTATTCAAATTAGTTCCTGGAGATCTAGGTGATATGTTACAGAGTGTAATAAACGATAACTCAGGTAATATAAGTAACGGAATTGATGTGTATCCAGATTGTGGACAGGAAAGCGTTGACTGTCCTGATGGCTCATACGTAAGTAAAGATCGATATAACGAAGATGAAAATGTGCAAAGTAGAGAAGCAGATACACGTGTATTTCGTGCAACGGTGTATGGACAAACATATGCATCACAACAACGTTGCATGCAGTCAGAAGCTAACAATGTATATTGTGCAAGTGTACATGAACAAACATATGCATCACAACCACTTCACATGCAGTCAGAATCTAGCAATGTATATTTTGCAAGTGTACATGAACAAACATATGCATCACAACCACTTCACATGCAGTCAGAAGCTAACAATGTATCTTGGGCAAGTGTACATGGACAAACATATAATGCACCACAGGAAACAGCAAATACATTTGATACACATGAAGTCGGTTTCAATGTAAATTCCAGTGCATATAGAGAGTCAGCAATAACTAACCCTGAAGCAGAGGATTGCTTTGTACAAATTGCTGGAGATGTTTTGTCTCAAAGAGATTCAGACGGCCTCGTTGACGTTCAACATATTGAGAAATTGGCTAGCTTAAAGCAGGTACTCAGTAAAACCATTATATACAAATCCAACGGTGCCTGGTTCTCTAAAATGATCGTATCCTATTCATTAAACGGGAAAAAATACAGAATTGAAGAATGTGGTGATCGAAAGAGAGTAGAAATTTCTGAAAATGCAACAGATATCAAAGTGAAACTTCAAGTTTCGCGTCCAGTTTGGGGTGACGTCATGAAGTACGATCGTTTTAAGAAGAAATGGTCAACACCGTCCGAACCACACATCTTCCGATACAAAAAGGCAGTTGATCGTACCTTTACAATTAGTGGCATCCTTTGGTTTGAGGCAGTCATGGCTGTTACGGATGAGTACCATGAAGAAACCAAAGAGATGGGTGAGGTAGATACTTAAAGCTCTCTTAAACTTCTAAAACTTAGGTGCACTATATCATAAAAAAAAAATTTCATGTTCATTTATTATCAAATAGGCTTCTGTTATACAGTTTGAAAGCCATACATCTGAACTTGTTAAAGAAGCGAATCACTTCCAAAAAAGTGTACCGGACATTTAGACTTTCAAAAATCCGGTGATTTTTGTGCCGCACTTTCGTATTTTTTTGAATTTTGTCCTTGTAATTTCTTATTACTTTTGTACGCTATGAGGTCTACGATTAAAAACTTTGTAAATACACAAACCATACGTAACTGCGAACATAAGAAACCTGGAACCCCTAAGTTTTTAATTATAATAAACCCATAAGAAGCAGCAAGAAATGCACTAGTTAGAATTACGTAGTATTACTCAGTTATACTGTGAATACTCACAACTAATTAAGTCATTTAACTAATATCAAATGCAGGAGCTCAGTCACTCCAATTTTTACTCCTATAATGCATATATTTTTTGTGTTCCATTATTGTAAAATATTGGATTGAATAAATTTTCTAAAGAAATGTATAGTATCTTTTACCGATTATTTTGCTTTGTTCTAGCTTTGCCACTGATCGAATATTAACTCACTCCGTTATTGTGTCATAACTTTATGCACAGCACTGATCTACTCTCTTTGCACTAATCTGGAAACACAGTAAACCTATTTTGTTTCTTAAATAAAGCATGCTATAAATAGAAACATTTTCCTATCATCTCATTGTAATATTACTTATAGAAAATTGTTTAAAATTTGTATCAGTATTCAAACTTCTTGTGCAATTCTGCATCACTAGTCAGATTTATGAATGATCGTATTTATGTTGAGATTTTGTTTTCCACCGAGCATATCAATTGTTTTATTAGAAATCTCTTATTTTCAGAGCGAGAGCAAAGCTGATTTCGATGAGCTTTGCTCCCCAAAAGCATGTTTGCTGCAGCATACTTCAACGTTTGAGCGTTTTTAAATAAGATTATTTCAGTGTTGTTGTCGTATTTCCTCTCTTCTATCTAAATCTTCTTTCTTTCATATTTCAGGAGACCGTCATTAGTGTTCCAAGGCAAGTAAGGCGGAGGACGATAGGTATACATGTAAATTTTATTTCTTTGTTGCACTATTTTGCTGCTTATTAGAGCAGGTGCATTGAACCACTTTTTTTCGACCTAGTGTTTCTTTAAAGTTTTATTTCATAGAGTAAGATTAAGTTTCAGTTTGTATTTCTATACCGAGATTTAGTTTTCATTAGTATTTGGAGTATGTTTATCTGATTTTAGATTGTTTAAAATAAAATACGCCTTGCAACAAATATTTTTCATTTTTCTAACCAGTATGTGCGTATGTGTTGAGGTGAAACAAAACGTTAATATTTTCTTTCACCAGAGACATGGCTTGAGGGCCATGAAAATAAATGAAAGAATACTATGTGTTCTAAATAGATATGAAATTTTCCAAGATGTAATTTTGAATATTCATCGTCTCCTCTGAAATTTAAAAGGTTATGCCAATACGTTCTCTTTTTTAATAGATAAGATATTACATGTTTGTAAATGATGATCGTCCAGGTTAATAAAGTCCTGAGAAGGACTGTTTTTGTTGTTGTTGATTGACGTATCGATAACCTTAGCGGTAGTCATCTTCAGAGTCAAATGAGGAGTAAACGTCAGGTTAGCCGTATTTGTTATCTGCTTCTTACGTCATTGCATTGTGTGTACAGGAAATGTGTGTATTGTCATTGAGGATTAGTGTGAAGTGAAATATTTTATTTTTAGTAGTGATGTGTGATTTAGGTGTGATGATTTTAGTTGTAATGTGTGGGTGTCAATTGTGTATTGTCATTGTGAATTAGTGTGAAGTGTAATGTTTTAAGTTGATCGTTTGTTTGTATTGTGAATAAGTCGTTTGTAAGGTGCCGGTAATTGCTGTGATCTGTTCAGGGAGGTTTGTTCCAAGTTGGTATGCCAACTTTCTAATATAAGCCGTTGTCTATGGTCAGTACTGTAAGTAATGCATTATGCCGGGTCCCAGTCAATGTTGTGCTTTGGGATTCGGTGATGTTCGGCAATGTGATTAGTTTTGTCTTGTTTCTTAGTAGCTCGTTTGTGTTCAGTAAGTCTTATGTTTAAGTTCCTGCCAGTTTCCCCGATATAGGAGGCGTGGCAGTTGCAGCAGTTTATTCTGTAAACTGCACCTTGTAATTCGTTGGGTTGTTCTTTGTCCTTTATGTTCGTTAGTACTTGTCGTAACGTTGTGATTGGTTTATGTGCGACACGTATGTTGTATGGTCGTAATATACGCGAGATAGTCTCAGACGTACCTTTGATATAAGGTATCGTTGCTGTTGTCACTGAGTTGTTCGTTTCATTGGGTTCATTCGGTTTGTAAGTGTTGCGTTTGATAAAGTCAGAGTTATAGTTGTTTTTGTCAAAAACACGTTTGAGATAGATGTTTTCGTTTTGTAGAGCGTCCGGTGAATCACATATGATTTGTGCACGTCTTGTTAATGTTCTGATTGTGGTGGCTTTGTGTGATGTAGGGTTGTAAGATGATTGGTCTAGCAGTCGGTCAGTAAGTGTTGGCTTGCGATAAACTGTTGTTCGTAGTTTTTGATTGTCATGTTTTACCAAAACAGTCCTTCTCAGGACTTTATTAACCTGGACGATCATCATTTACAAACATGTAACGATACTCCCGGGTTCAAACCATTTACTTTAGATAAGATATTTATGTGAAAGCTTATTGCATCCATACTTTGTTTATGCCCTTATTAGCATCATTTTCTAGCATTTCATCTCGGACTACATTTAGCCTCACGAGCACAGTCAGGGGAAAGGAAACTTTATTTAGTTCTTAATAATGTTCTTACGACGTTTGTTTTCTGTTGGCTGAAAATGATTACCTTATTTCCTCGTATACAAAAACAGTACGAATATCTTTTTGCACAAGTAGAAGTCAGATTGTGTAACATTCCATGTTTTTTACATCCGTCTAGAAACTGATGCTGACAATACATCAAAAATGGCGGTTAATTTACAGAATCTAATAAACGATAACTCAGGTAATATAAGTAATGGAATTGATGTGTATCCAGATTGTGGACAGGAAAGCGTTGACTCTCCTGATGGCCCATACGTAAGTGAAGATCGATATAACGAAGATGAAAATGTGCAAAGTAGCGAAGCAGAAACACGTGTATTTCGTGCAACGGTGTATGGAAAAACATATAATGCACCACAACCACTTCACATGCAGTCAGAAGCTAACACTGAATATTGTGAAGCAAGTGTGCATAAAGAAACATGTCATGCATCACAGCAATCACAGCAAACAGCAAATGCTACATCTGCTACAAATGAAGTCGGTTTCAATGAAGCAGAGGATTGCTCTGGGCAAATTGTTAGAGATTTTTTGTTTCAAATCAATCCAGACAACCCCTTTGACATTCAACATATTGAAAACTCTGCTAGTTCAAAACAGGTGCTAACTAAAACCATTACGTATATATATAACGGTGCCTGGATTTCTAAAATGATTGTCTCCTACTCTTTAAACGAAGTAAGAGAGACAAAAGCCGTAAGTGGTGATCGAAAAAGAGTTGAAATTTCTGCCAATGCAACAGACACCTAACTTCTAAAACTTAGGTGCACTATATTATAAAAAAAGTAAAAATTTCATTTTCAGTTATTATCAAATAGGCTTCTTTTATACAGTTTGAAAGCCATAAATCGGAACTTGTTAAAGGAGCGAATCACATCCGAAAAAGTGTACCGGACATTTAGACTTTCAAAAATCCGGTGATTTTTATGCCGCACTTTCGTATTTTTTTTAATTTTGTCTTCGTAATTTCTTATTACTTTTGTACGTTTTGAGGGCTACGATTAAAAAATTTGTAAATACACAAACCATACGTAACTGCGAAGATAACAAACCTGAAACCCCTAAGTTTTTAATTATAATAAACCCATAAGAAGGAGGAAGAAAGGCACTACTTGTAATTACTTAGTATTACTCAGTTATACCGTGAATACTTACAACTAATTAAGTCATTTAACTAAAATCAAATGCAGGAGCTCAGTCACTACAATTTTTACTCCTATAATGCATATATTTTTTGTGTTCCATTATTATAAAATTATAGATTGAATTAATTTTCCAAAGACATGAATAGTATCTTTTGCCGATTATTTTGCATTGCGCTAGCTTTGCCACTGATCAAATATTAACTCACTACGGTATTGTGTCATAACTTTACGCACAGCACTGATCTACTCTCTTTGCACTAATCTGGAAACGCAGTAAACCTATTTTGCTTCTTAATTAAAGCATTTGCTATAAATAGAAACATTTTCCTATCGTCTCATTTTAATATTACTCATAGAAAATTGTTTAAAATTTGTATCAGTATTCAAACTTCTTGTGCAATTGTGCATCACTAGTCAGATTTATGAATGATCGTATTTATGTTGAAAATTTTTTTTCCTCCAAGCATATCAATTGTTTTATTAGAAATCTCTTATTTTCAGAGCGAGAGCAAAGCTGATTTCGATGAGCATTGCACCCAAAAAGCATGTTTGCTGCAGCATACTTCAACGTTTGAGCGTTTTTAAATAAGATTATTCCAGTGTTGTTGTCGTATTTCCTTCCTTCTAGCTAAATATTCTTTCTTTCATATTTCAAAAGAACGTCAGTAGTGTTCCAAGGCAAGTACGGTGGAGGACGATAGGTATACATGTAAATTTTATTTCTTTGTTGCACTATTTTGCTGTTTATTAGAGCAGGTGCATTGAACCACCTATTTTTGACCTAGTGTTTCTTTAAAGTCCTATTTCATAGAGTAAAATTGAGTTTCAGTATGTATTTCTATACCGAGATTTAGTTTTCATTAGTATTTTCTTAAGAATAATTTCTAAATTCTGTACATCCCTTTGTATATCTCATATAATTAGGGTTTTTTTCACTTTGCTTTATTATAGGTGACGACTAATGAAGCTTAAGAGAGCGCATGCTCTATTCCTCGAAGATATTCAAAGTACGTTGCAAATAGGCGATTGTAGATTAGTTACAATATATCATTATTTTAATGGTTTGGCATAGAAGTTTTTAATTATATAATAAACTCATAATAAGCAGCAAGAAAGGCACTACTTAGAATTCCTTAGTATTACTCAGTTATACCGTGAATACTTACAACTAATTAAGTCATTTACCTAATATCAAATGCAGGAGCTCAACCACTACAATTTTTACTCCTATAATGCATATATTTTTTGTGTTCCATTATTGTAAAATATTAGATTGAATTAGTTTTCTAAAGAAATGAATATAATCTTTTGCCGATAATCTGCATTGCGCTAGTTTTGCCACTGATCGAATGTTAACTCACTCCGTTATTGTGTCATAACTTTTTATACATCAGTTGGATTAAAACAGCACACTCAAATTTAACGAAATTTTAAGAAAAAGCAGTTTGGCAGAATTCATGGAAAGGGAACATGTCACTTAGGGAAGCTACACCAAACAAAACTTAGAGCTCTAATTTTTACGTTATCATTAAAAAGGCTGGAGAAAAGCAAAGCCCCCTTGCCCCTGCTTAGCTAACCAACCACCCCCGAAAAAAGAGATCAAAAACCTTTTTTGTTTTATTAAAACAGCATGTAAATGATCATGGTTGCCAGTTTTGCATTGTTTTGCCAAAAGTAGACCCTCTTTCAACTGTGCGAGTGGTTAAGATTAAAAAATCAGTTAACTCATGCAACATGAAGTATTGAAAAAAAAGTTACACTACGATTCTCTAATGATGAGTTTCGAATGAAGTAAACGTCATGTTGACATTTTCCCTCATTTTTCCATATTACATTACATAATATACTTAAGCGTAGGAAGCGTTGACGAATTTTGGGAGAATTTTAAGAAAAATTTACGGATTTTGGACTTTGATATCCTCATAATACAGAATACGATCCAAAGATCCAAAAAAGATGCAGATAAATTTGTTTTACTCTACTTTTTTAAATTGTCGGTTTGACATAGTTTTTGACATGACGTGTAATGTATAGCCTGCAGTTTTTTCATTTGAAGTGATAGCGTTAATGTAAGTTGTAATTCGTTACTTGTTGTCACTGTAGTAAATGTACATTGAAACCTCGTTTTTAAGATTACGTTTACACAATTCTGGATCGGTCTGAAAACGGTAAAAAAGTAACAGAGCTAAGTTCCATTTATACTGCACGGGAGCGGAATTTTTTTTCCGGAGAGGTGCAACAACACGTCAAAACGTCACTTTTGCCGGAGAGGTGTGAGCACACTTTCTAAACGTGGTCAAACGAAAACGGATCGCTGCGCATCGTTGTGTAAACAGTGATATTTCTCTGCACTGTAGATACCAGTCCTCTTCAATTTCTTCCGCGTTTTGGTGCATAATTGAAAATGGTAAACATTTTATACTTAGGAAAGTATTTAATGACGGATTGATTTTTACAAAACAATGTTTTTATGACTTATGCCTAAAGATATAAGCATGTAGCAATGTGTAAACAAGAAGTGGCGTCATTAACTCATTCTTCTACAAACAACTAACGAACCTTTAGAGTAAGAAACATTATGTCTAAACACCCGCCAAACTGTATCGGAATTCAAACGGATCAGTGTAAACGCAGTCAATGGAATAAATTTTAAATAAGTAACCTAAACCCGTTCTCTGCAGATAAAAATATTATGTTTTTAACTTATCCCCGTTTTGAGCGTCAAATCATCGGTAGACTCTAAATTTTCATTTGCCAGACGTTGATACGCGAGGAGTAGTCTGTGTGATCACTTTAACCAAGTTTTCCCTATTTCTTAATTTTTTTTGATACATCATGTGCAGCCAAAAATACGATTAAATATTTGCAATCACTAGCAATGCACGAGGCAACAACGAATTGCTAGAGCAACTGAGCTTCTCGTTTTCCCCAAAAATAGTAATAAAAGCGTCATATACTTGTAAATAAATATAAATCATACCCCATAGAGTATCATACCCCATAGAGTATCATACCCCATAGAGTATCATACCCCATAGAGTATCATAACCCATAGAGTATCATACCCCATAGAGTATCATACCCCATAGAGTATCATACCCCATAGAGTATCATACCCCATAGAGTATCATACCCCATAGAGTATCATACCCCATAGAGTGTCATGCCCCATAGAGTATCATACCCCATATATTTTACCGTCTCATGGCTTGTTTATATGGAAGTCCAGCTGGCCCGTTTACCGAGATCGCACGTTAAGCAAGATTTCCCTACGTACTACATAATATATTAAAATTCTCTTTGTGTTTATATGGCGACAGGGGCTTGTCTGTTTAGAGAGATCTCACATGGCACAGGCGAGATCTCGTCTCCTGGGAGAAAATTTTTCTAATGTAAACACTCAACTGCCGAGCTAGCCCGCTTGCTTAGCTAAATTTTAACTATTTGGGCATTCGTATGATAACATATTAAAATGGTGAAATACGTGCACGTGCAAAAGTGAGCGAAATGGAGACGAGGATGGGTAAAAGAAAGAACTTTTACTGCGATACAAAGATGATGGAGCATTTGATTGATGTGTCTGATTATAAATAGAAGATGCTTTATACAAGTCTTGATTTCGACCGCGATAAACGTCTCGGCAAGCGTGGTGAACGTCATGTAAACACATCAAAAAAATTCATCTCGCTTACCTCGTACAATGTGAGCATATAAACTCGACCACGTAACATGTGTCTAAGGCAGGGGTCTCCAAACTTTACAGCCAGAGGGCCACATGAAATTTCATTCAGTAGTTGAGGGCCGACGAACCGTATACCGCTGATCAAAGAGCGAATATTTTAATAAAACGAAGTACATAACACAAGATTCATTAGTTAAGAAATATTTATTCAAAATTCAAACTTTAAAGTTTTAATTTCAATGAAGAGTAATATCATAACAAAATCACAATTATTCTGTTCAGTTTTCTCAATGTGAGTGGTGAAATTGGCTTTTTCATGACAAAATTGTAAAAAAGTCTAGCTTTAAGTTTGAGGTCCCAAGCATTAGAAGAGCGCTCAGATTTTCGTCTGACATGTTTGTTCTATAACTGTTTTTCATATACTTTATTCTAGAAAAATTTTCTTTACAAAGGTATGTGGTGCCAAGCATAGATAGCAGTCCTGCAGTAAAATGCCTCAAGTTTTGATAGTTCTCTTTCGGTTCTCTTTCTTAAAATTCTTCCCTCAGCAAGTCATTTGTTTGTTAAAGTTGGGACAAAAATTGACGTTGAGACAAAAAAGCCACTCTTGCAAGTTGACTTGAGTTAACGTGAGCTTTCTGCACAAAGTTTATTTTGTTTAATAATATTTTTTTTCTTAAGTGTCTCTGCGTGCCGGATTAAGAGGCCCAACGGGCCGAATCTGGCCCGCGGGCCGTAGTTTGGAGACCCCTGGTCTAAGGGAAAGCGTTTGACTAATTTCGAAATCATTTTAACAGTTTTTGCGTTATTTCAATCAGCATTTAGCACTAAGCACCTTTTAACAATCAATAAAATTTTCATAGTTACTACGTTTTGTGACCATATATTTGGCAGGCTAGAGGCTACCCAGGTGTACGCAGCGTATCTATTTCAATAGAGGCAGTAATTCGCAATACTATTCCAACATGAAGTATTGCAATTCCTAATAAATCTTGGCTCTTGGCTTGGTGTGGCCCTCGTGGCCAAAAATTTATCGTGAAATGCTTTTTTCTATATTTCTTTGCCTCTGGCATTTAGGTATGGTTAGTTTTTTCGTTTTTTTCATTTTGACGTAAGATTTAAAATATGCTTTTTACGAAAAATATGTACTGGTACTTATTGTTGCCTTTAAAATATGACTGACTTTTAAATTTCCAAGGGCAAACTCTTTTCTCTTGAAGCTGTTAACTTATAGACAGACTTCATTCGTAGCATACGGACTTAATTGTTAACGGATTGCATAGTAACTTCACTGGTAGCTTTATTCTTAACCTATATAATGAATGAACTCATTCCCCCGAGGTAATCGTTAATAAATAGGAATTAATTCTTTAGAATATTAATGCATAACAATGTTTAAGCGAACAATGTATAGAGCCAAGAATTTTGTGTCATGCCGTGTCCTTCTCAAAATACACTGTCCTCTGTGGAATTCTTGCAAGATTCACACCACATCACAATTTCTTTCTGATACAGTATGGCTACAGGTTGTCCAGACAGGTCAGTCTGATGCTTCTGCTGGTTTATATATATTTACAAACTCTCATCGGTAAGTGTAAAGACATTTGCAAGTATTTGAATTAAGTAACCTTAAAAGTTGCTCATTTTATAGAAGAAGGGGCATATATGCAGGGGCGTATCTAGCAAAAAATTTTTGGTCACGCTTTTTTATGCAGAGCCATGCCCTATGATGTCATGATTTTCAATCATACGTATACTAAGACATAAGTACTTTATTGAAGTTTAATGAACAAATTTTAAAGTGGAAACAAACAACATCTAACTTTCTAACAAATCAAAATAAAAATTACTGTCTCAGGTTAAGATCTTAACTTCATCATCATTTTAGTGGCCATGACTCTACATACAGCTATTACGTTCACCCACAGTAAACTTAAGGTAAATTTTAGTTTTTTGACTGTACACATGATAATGAATGACATTATGTTAAAGGAGAAATGTCAGTATTAGCATAACTGACCTCAAAACTTTTAAATTCACAATAAAACCATAAAATAATAATACAACCACAAATATTCTGATATACATGTGCATGTCAAGTATGAAGCAAATTCAATTTTTGAACAGTCACAATATTCTATCATCACATCCTTTTGGAGTTTAAAAGCAAAACATTTATAAACATTTTCAAATCTTTAAAAATAACACACTTGAGCTAAATATTTATAATCGTGCATTACAAGGGGTGGGAAACTTAGTCCAAATATAGTGATAATTAACATTATCTTTGAATTTTCTTGTAAAAAGGCAAAAAGCACAAATAGCTTGCAAAAACCTCGATAGGTGAACTAAAAATGCAACTTTATACAACAAAACCAGTTTGTAAGCCAAGCAGGAAATAAAGATGTAAAATAATATTCGGCTGAGCCCCACCAGCATGACCTCTAGATACTTCCATTTAATGAATCAAAATAAGGGCCCAGTAAGAACATTAATTGCTCTCCGTTTTTATAAAAAATGTTGTATGCCATAAAGATACAGGTAAAATATTCTTGCTATCCAAATAAATAATTTTTATTATCTTGTGGACATCACGATACTGTCAGTCAGTTGGTAAGTCAGTCAGTCAGTTAGTTGGTAATTCAGTCAGTCAGTCAGTCAGTCAGTCAGTCAGTCAGTCAGTCAGTCAGTCAGTCAGTCAGTCATTCAGTCAGTCAGTCAGTCAGTCAGTCAGTCAGTCAGTCAATCAGTCAGTTAGTCAGTCATTGAGGATTTTTTTTTGGAGGTGGCAACTGGCAGAATGAGTCAAATGATAATCTAAATTTTTACTGGAACAATGAGGCTTAAATGCTTAATTCGAAATATAAGTCAAGTCTAAATGACTAAATATTAATATATCTCAATAAATGTTAAATTACCAGCCATTCTTCTCATCTGCTCAATCACGAAAAGATGCAAATAAACAAAATATGTGGTAGACTGTAGAAAGTGTAATCATTTCATGTTTGGTTAAATCCAAAATTACGTCAAACACGAAAATTAAAGCTTCTTACAGAAAAAAACGTTTTCTATCACCTTATTTTTGGCCAAAACACTTGTCTTGATAAGTTTTGTTTGCTTGTTTAGCTTAAAAGATTAAGTAAATTAAGATTAGGGTTTGAATTAGTGATCAATTAATGTCATTTATGTTTGTTACTTGATGTTACTACTCATGAAACTATTACTAATATATCCCTGACATTTTAGGAGCTCTCCGCATCCACATCACATCAGGACAAAGTACTTGATTGTTGGGCGAATCGAAAATTCCGCATTTTCTTCTTAAGATAAATTACGTGCTTATTACTGTATTTAAGATGTGAACCTCTGAAATGAAAATGTTCCCGTGTTTTTTTTTGTTTTTAATGAAACATTTGGTAAAAAAATTTCATAAAAAAGGAACATAGGGAGGCGACTCCCCCCTCCTTCGCCTCCCCTTACTGTCAACCACTGCTCAGTCACTCAGTGTGATTTATTTTTAGATACATCATTAATGCGGGTGAAAATACATTAAGGAATTTTCGCATGGGTGGATTACCATCAAAGGGACTTGACAAGATGTTCATGACTGGCTCTACAATCAATCACATTGGTGGTCTGACAAACATGCTTCTAGCTACGCAAACTGATAATTTTTCGGTCGATAAACTTGTCGATGTCTATGGTCCACCGAATCTGGATGCATTCTTACAAACAATACAGAAATCTTTTCAGTACATGAGTAAGTTCGAGTTTGTAAAACTTCACCAGATTGAGGAACGAATAAAGTGGCTGGAAATTGCGAGTGATGATAATTTTCAAATTTTCGCCTTTGCTACAAGTGATGGTTCGCAAGAGAACGGTCGGACGATTTTCCCAAATCTTGCCGTTTCTTACGCGTTTTTATTACAAGAACCGCTACGAAGAGTTCGCATGGATGTAACAGAAAATCTTGGCCTGGCGCAGGAAATTTTGAGAAACGTTATAGAAAAGTGTCAAATGGGATATTCTGTTGATTTACCTGGTGGAAAACATGTGAGTTAACTACCAATTTTAAACTTAGTGTATCATTTATTTGAACTTTACTTGAACTTGATAAATGGAAAGTTTTGCAGGAACTCTCAGCAGGAAGTAGCTACATGTTGTAGAGACAAAGGGTTAATCAGGACAAAGATTAGCAACTGTTGTTAATCTCAACTATCTACGCATATATTCTGTAACTCTAAAGCAGGGGTCTCCAAACTACGGCCCGCGGGCCAGATGCGGCCCGTTGGGCTTCTCAATCCGGCCCGCAGAGGCACTTCAGAAAAAATAATAATATTAAATAAAATAAATTTTGTGCAGAAAGTTCACGTTATGTCGCAAGCCAACTAGCAAGAGTGAATTTTATTCCCAACTTCCTACTTCTGTTTCAAGCACACTGCGAAATTTAAAAAGCTGAAGGAGAACGTGGAAATTTTTTATATTCTTCGGCCCTCAACATGCTGGATGAAAGTTCATGCGGCTCTCTGGCTGTAAAGTTTGGAGACCCCTGCTCTAAAGCGATCGGATTATTTCAAAGTTGACTTTTAAAGAAATTATGTGCTTTTAGCCAATAATGCTGCAGGTTGATTAAAATTGTTTGAATATACAAGTATAAATTCTTGCAAAAATAATTTATATTGGGTGAATTGACGTATTTAATTTTTGTGCTAAAGGGTTTTTTGTGCTCTGTTTAGATCAATCCAGATGACATTCTTCATCCGACGCCACGTCGACAATCATTTGTTGTCATAGATTGTCCATCAAAACATGTCCTGAACAAATTATCTTCTTTCATGTCACGTGATTTCTTCTCAAGTGATTTGCACACTCACGTGGACATAGTAATTCACATGACCGGAAAAGATATAGCAAATTCCATGGAATACAAATCTTGGATGACAACGTTTGACCCAGAAACGAAACATCTTATGATGAATGAGCACGTGATTGAAAGACCAGCTTTCACCGTCTTTGATGAAGTTTATGATAGGTTAAATAAACTTCACGTGAACATTTTCCCGCCGCTGTACTATTCATTGTTTATGGATAAAATTCACTCTGGTTTTAAAGATTTTCCCGAGGGTTCTGTCCATTTTGCTGCTCCGACTTTGAGGTATAATTTTCGGCCAATAGCCTTTGAAGGCTTTGAACAAAACTTGGTGGCTGTAAAAGCTGTAAATGAAAAAGAATCGTCGGCAAATGGAAGTCGTTCAAATGTGTTCGCAAGCTCTACGTTGAGCAACGATTTTCAGGTTGTTTTCCTTGGAACTGGTTCACGTATTTCATCAAATCTTCGCAACACTAGCGGGATTTTGTTGAATTTGAGGTAAGGGAAAATCCTTAATTCAGTAAACAAGTTTACTTCAAACAATCTTAGCTTTATATAAATTACATGTGATGGACATAAGACACAGAGGACCACTTTAGGTGATAGTAAGAGCTACGGTATCTCGTTGCAAATGCATCGAAAAAGAATGGTTGCAGTTAAGAAAGGATTTCATACTTGCAACATGAAATAGTGAGCCTATTGTACTGAAATATTTTGATGGATTGCTAGATTTTTCATGGTGTCTGGTACTGTATTGTTAACATTGACGTAGCCAGATCGGAAATTTTGTTATGCTATGTAAAGTTATATGTGTTTCTTACTAAGAAAATGATGTAATCTAAAATTTACATACCACGACCAAATACGCTGGCTATACCATAGACTGTACATATGTAAACAGGACAAGTGAGCAGTGAACTCTCCACGTTTCGCTGTTCCTTTACTTTACTGAAAATATTGTTTATGCAACTTTGGCATCACTGTTTCGTTATTACATAGTGATGAAACGTCCATTTTAATGGACTGTGGCGAAGGACGTTAAGACAGATGTTTTATCATTACGGAGACGATGTGAACACGATGCTAAAGCGAATCCGTACCGTGTTTGTCTCCCATATGCATATTGACCATCATTTGGTAGGTTCGTACTTGTATATTATTGCTCGTATTAGTTTTACAATACTCCTACATAACACGTTGGCTCAATTTTTTTCACCTAAGATACGTAAAACGAAGTCTGTAAAAATCATTTTCTTCAATCGAAACCAATTTTAGACAAACCATCTTGATTGTTTAAAACCAGTCTATGGTTAGTCCACAGTCCAAATAAGTTCATTGTTGGTATCGTAATTTTAAATCTAAATGCCATAGAAACTCTGTTAATTGTCAGTTTTCAAAGAATCAAATCTTACAAATCAAATGTGTTTTAGGTATTTTTGCTGAGCTCCAATCTCTAACCTGTTCTAATATATGTTCATTACTGACGCAATCAATATCTTTAATTGTCATTTATGCATGTTAAACAATGAATACTTATTATAAATTATCAATTTTTAGGGTCTTGTCAATATTTTACGACATCGTAAGAAGATTATGGTGAGCTTGCAGGAATGACTTTACAGCGTTACATGTCTTCTTTTTATTTTGCAATAGTTTTTCGCCAAACTTTGCTGTTATAATAATTGCAAAATTACCTTTGTGTGTTGTAACGTTTGATATTTTCTGGTACTTTAGAAGGTAAATTGTGTCATATCTAGGGTGATTCAAGTTTCGTAAGAATCATTGGTCCAGAAACTTTGGACTTATACTTAAGATATTTCGAAATGCTGTGTGGTGAAACTTTCAACTTCAGGTGAAAATTCTATATGTTAAAATTTTTTTGTGGGGTTTTTTCATTTCTTTTCATAAGTTAGCACTAATGACATTTGACTTTTGTCAGTTCCGTAGCCACCTCGATAATTGGGGACCAATTATCCTGTTCTTCTTTGAAATCAATTTTTTCTGCGGATGTTAACATGCATATATGAATAGCCTCCTCTCTATTACGAGGCTAGCTATGGCATTGATTTGTGTAGGTAATAGTATAGTTTCAAGTGCAATTACGTATAAACATGCACGGGTGAGTATTTTAAAGACTGCTGCGCAATAGCGTGAGTCCGAAGAACGATTAAAAACAATATACTTTGAGTTATTTTTTGACTGTACCGTCCAACTCTATCTTGTTTCGTTACTCTCTATCGCTTCAGAAAAGCCTCGTTGTGCTGTCTAACTGTTAAAAATATTCCCCCGAAAACAGTACTTGCTCCTTTGTTTTTATTCTTTGCATTCTTTTGTAATTCTTGAATTTCAAACGATTGCAATTGTGGAAATCTTTGTTTAATTACAACTACCGCCATGTATTTTTTTGAATTGAAAAAAATTTGTTTGGCTTTCATTGTTTTTCAGCCAATCAGGTTACAGTATTTACGGTGCAACTATACTTTTCTACTGGGCAATTACAAATAAACTGCATTGCAATCAACCAATCACAGTGGAGAAATATCTCATACTATATTATTAATAGTTTGTTTGGGCCTGGTTCTATTAGCGAAATTTCTTAACGAAATTCGTGCATTTTTGTGCATGTGTTCTAGAATTACTAACTTATAGCAACCTTGTTGTTTAGTCGCTCACAATGTTTGTTTTTTAGGTTCACTCAGTTTTGGTGGGTGAAAAGAGGATTAGAGAAGAAAGAAGGCAAACAATTTAGTCGCTCTTTGGGATTTTCTTCTGTAAGTTGATAAATATCTAAACACCATATATATTTGAATATTCGATAAAAGTACTCGAGGTTTGATTGACTTTGGCGTACCACACAATACAGAATTTGAGTTAACTATTTTTTGCAGATTTCTGTTGTCCCTACGAAACACAGTGATTACTCTCATGGTTTGGTACTTGAACGCAATGGATGGAAGATCGCTTATTCTGCTGACACAAGACCTTGTAAACAGTTAATGGATGCCGGTTAGGAGAAACGGACAAATCTATTCTCTTTTTAGTTCGCTATTTCTCTACTGCATCATTTTTTTCACGAATTACGAAAGGAAAAATATTATTGTGGTGATATGGCCTTATCGAAATATTGCCCAATCACATTAAGTTGTTGCTTGTCCTATAAAGAGCAGTCGTTTAGTTAATAACAGGTTTAGATGCATCAAAATATGTTTTGCTACTACTGGGAGATGTCTTTTTTAAGAACCTATAAAAATAAAATCTGTTCTATGTCCGTCTCCCCTGTCCAGGAAATGAAGGCAACCTGTTTCACCCCTTGTTTGGGCTTTCGGCAAGAGCCATCGTGAATAGCGAAATCTTTACGCAAACACTGAGCTTTTTTGCTAACCTAAAAAAATTTATCGTATTTTCAATTATATAACATTATCTTTTTTTGCGAACGCGAATTTCAATGTGTCTTTCGTTAAATATATCGTAAAGGATTTGCGTCGGCAGTTTCCTTTCACGTAATCCGTCCTCTGGATATTTGGAAATTCTATTGGTTAACTCTTAAATAATTCCTGAAGACAACTTTTTTTTGCCACAATCATTGGAAGAGATGTTTAATTTTTTGTTGCTATAGGTGAAAATGCGACATTACTCATTCACGAGGCTACATTCGATGATAAACTGCTTTACAGAGCGAAAGAAACTGCCCATTGGTAATATAAGTGAGGCAAACTGTGTCTTGCTCTTTTTATGTTCAACTTGCTATTTCATTGTCCATACTCCTGTTTGTAAAACATTGTGTCTCTCTTATGTAGTACCGTATCTGAAGCAATCAAATGTAGTGAACTGATGAAAGCCGAGTACACGATTTTAACACACATCAGCAATCGACATATTTTCCCCTGTAAATCTTCAAGACTGCCTCATCACGTGAGCTTTGCTTTTGATCACATGACGGTATGTTTCATGTCGTGTTTCGATTGGGAAAAAGGCTGTAAAATTAAAGATTGTACTTGTCGAAATTACTGTTTTGCAAAGTATCTGCAAACGTAGCGAATTTTGGTGTTTTGTCAAAAGGGATTTTATCGTTATAGGTTGAGCAAAAAGATCTTAGAAATATTCGTGGAATAATGGCAAATGTTGAGAGAAGCGTTGTATACCAATGGAAGAGAAAAAGAAAACAGAAGCAAGCTGTTAAATCAAAAGACTCTCCCATTATGGTGAATTCTTAGACTGGCGTAGCTACTTAACCGAACGAATGAATTCTTTGCATTCAAACTTACAGGCTTGCAAGTAATTTTTGAATTGAAATTACCTAACATTTAGTTTTATATAGCTAATCATGGCACTCCAGAAAACTTTTTTACATTGTCTGGACTCAAGGTGTCTCAAAGGGGTAATTTTATACTTTCTATTGACAGATAGATAGGCCGACCCCGACAACTGAAGCAGATTTTGCGTGGGGTTTACGAAAAGCATGAACGAAACATTAACACTATACTTACAAAATTACGAGAAAGGAATTTAAGAGTTATCGAAACACTCGGCAAGTTTGAGAAAACGAGAAATTCGTTGGCGAAGTTTATTGATTTTAATTACATTTCCCGCGCAAGCATGCAACTTTCAGATGTGACAACCAATCAGCGCCCGTGTTTATAAAATGCTATTTATGAAGTGTTATATTTACTGACTGTCAAGCCGGACTTTAAATTCAGCCAACACTCTCTCGTCATAGCTTATAGCCAATGCTAGACAGCGTATGTCAGTGCATTTTGTTGCAATTTCGAGCGATTTAGTTTTTTTCTTGCATTGCATTTTTCAATTGCAATTTCACGTTAACCGTAAGATTTTGGGCACATATAGCAGTAATGGCGGGGAAATGCAAATCAACAACAACACGCCGTTTCCACTCTCGAGTCTCGAGTGTAAAAGCAAAAGCAACGTTATAGAAGAAAGCTTTATGGGTAATGTGTGAATATTATTTAGGGTTATGTCCAGGCCTTCTAAATTTTAATTAAATCCAAGCTATGGGCACAGGATAGATATCTGAACAGAATGTTCACTCGTGTTGGAACCTTTGATGTTTATGTGCCCCGCTATTCTGAAGCAAATTCTTAGCAGCAAGATACTTCCGCTAGATCGCAATAGAAAATATAGATGTTCTTACAAAAATATCATTTTGCACTACCAAAGCTTGCAAACTTATCTTCTTTGCAAGATGATAATTATTTGTAAAAATTTCGGCATACGTTTGCTTTAAACGTGAACCATGAGTAAAATAGCATTCTGGTGCAATACTATTCCATATTGATTTTGTGAAAGTATCTTGTTGCGTGCGTAGTGAAAGAATATGCCACGATTTTAGCCGAGTGGACCTTCTGTTAGATGTCTATTCTGTACTATGTCAGCAACTGGTGTCCGCTATACTCTAAACTTCACTTGATACATGACCAATGAGAAAACGGATATCGCGGCATTTCAATCGCCTGTTGACGGATGACAACTTGCGGCAAGTTACTTGCCTATGTTGCTTACTTATCTTCAGTCGCATACAGTTGTTAGTCGTGTTTTCGTTGTTTAATTTGTAAAAAATTGCTTGTTTCTCAGCCTCAATAAATCGTGATTTATGTCAAAAATAGACATTTCAACCTCTTGCTCTAAGGATGCTACAGAAAAACCGACTGTGCATCTTTTACCGTGCAAAATAGAGCACAATGGCGAAGCTGAAGTCGACGAATATTTTCAAAGTTGTATTAAGGACGATGGGAACGGAATGAAGAAAGGTTTGATGGTTTGAATTAAATAGTTTATTTAAAAACTTCAGCTAGCGGAATGTTGACTTTCTTGAACAGGTGGGTAGTCTGAGTGTAATAACTCTCCCCCCTCTAGACTAGCCTTGATTTGAAGGGGGCAAGGGAGTGTAAATTTCCCTGATACCAACCAATTGAGCTAAAACAACTGTCAAACTACACATTTCTCAGGAGTTTATACAAACCCACCTAAACTCTGACATTTGAAGGGACAGCGAGATGCCCAAAGGAGCCACCAAAATCTACATCCAAACTAGACTGGCTAGACCAAACAACGTCTTACAAAAACTAGAGCCTTCCCCCTCCCAACAAAATCATCCATAGTTCAGTTCCCCTTCTTTAGTAGTAAAGTTGCATGTTCATTCGTACCTTCCCTAGTCAATTTTTCTGTAAAAAATCCATACGTGTGATACATAGGTATGCTAGATGTAACCACATAGTTACCTTAAAATTTGAATGTCCTTTGTTGAATTGTTGTACCTACCAAAGCCATCATTAGAGAATATACATAATATTGATCCTAACACAGTTTTATATGCACATGTGACTGGAGGAGATCGGAACTCGCCCCTTCAGGATACTAAACGGCTGCTCTACCTGTTGAGCTATCAAGCCCACAGTGATTCCAAGGCCATCATCAGATAATATACATAAAGTCAAAACATTGTGCCATCCAGGAGAACTGCTATTTTGGCAAGAATCTCTTATCCATATGCAGTTTAAAAGAAATTTGACTTGTCTCCAAACCCTGTGGGCAAGGTAGCTCAACATGTAGAGTCGGACTAATATCCAAAGGTATGAGTTCAAATGTGGTCCAAGTCACATGTTTTTCATGTGTGTATAAAACCATGTTAGGATTAAATATTTTGTACCTACGAATTGTGTAACTTTTGGTATGAAGTAGTTGAGAGGATGAAGTATGTAGGTTGCATTTGAATTTTCCAAAAAGTCAACTATCCTGAAAACACTCTCCTGCCCACTTAAAATCTGCTTGAACCATTCCCCAGGATTCACCTCCCTGTAATATGAGTCTGTGTGTAGTGTTGCTTAGCCTAACCATTCCAGCTTAACTTGCTTTGATTTTTACTTAAAGTTTCATTTTGTGGCCGAATGTTAATGGGTGAGAAAGTTGCTATACCAGATGGATACAGTGGTAAGATAATGTTGATTAACATGCGTAGTACCTTTTTATTATTGGCTTTGTTGTGTATGTGAAAAAAATAACTTCACTCATTGTACCTTTTGGAACATTTGCATATTACTGTACCATATAAACATATAAATATTAATTATCTTTATGTATGTTACTCATCAAGTGGCCTGTGTAGCTAGTCTCTGTGGCTCCCAATGTTGAGGCACAGCATATCCGTAGGAAGAGGCCATCTCAAGTGATTTTGAGGTCACTAAGTTAGGCAGCCTATAAGTTTCGTCATGCTATGTTAATGCTGCTCTTCTTCAAAGTTTTTTGATAAAGAACAAATATGGCAATATGATAAAAGTCTTCAGCACTTGTCAAAAAATCACGGGAGGTGACCTTTTGTACATATGTTGACTCAATAGCATATCAATGACATTAAATGCTTACAAATAATGACCAGTGAAGAGCTTTATTTTTCAGCATTATGTATGTATCAAAAGAAGCCCTTATTTGAGAACATGGCTCTCTAGCACATGCTTGGGTTTACATGGGAAAGTACAAGCAGTTAAGCGCATTTTTTAAAAAGTTAGCAGATGACTTTTGATTTGGGTCTTCAAAAACTCAACCCAACTTAAAAGAGTTATAAGTTTGTAAATTAAACTTTCTTACATTGCTTGCAGTAGCAGATATATAAAATCATGATATCATAGAGCACTGTAAATTAGTTTTGCTTTGGTTCTCACAATTTCAGAGGTTAATCATGCCCCTAATATAGTCAAAGTTGTTTACTTAGTATCCACCAGGTCTTCTTCAGGTAGTCAACTTTGTAGATTTGGTGACCATGTTACTTTTACATGTAAGTAGTTGATGAACTTAGTCATTGGCATCAATCCCATTTTAACAAGGCGGACCATATTCTTATATTCTGCCAGTCCTGGGTAATTTTTTTTCAAAACAATTTCACTTTCTAGAGAAATCAGCCCTTCATAACAGAATATATGGTTTCCCTCAATTAATGTTGATACCATTAACTTAGTACACTTACTAAGTAAACAAGTTCGGTACTCTTACCAAGGGCCTAGAAAGATCAATGATTGGGAGGAGGAATATTCATATATTCATGATAGGAAGTGTTAAGCTCTTTTGAAATCCATTGTTTTAAAACGATTGTAACATGCATATATAAATATTGCGCTCTCCCCCAAATTATCGATCTTCTTTTTGTCTTGACTTTTACACTTTTGCCAATGACTTTTACTTAGTAGTAACCCTTTCAAGATCTGTCATCCTTTTTGGTTCACAGGAATGAAATGAATCTGTGTAAGTTTTTTTTATTTCAGGCCATCTTCTCAGGGAAAATTGTAAACCTGTCACTGATGACCAGGTGAGCCTTCGATTTTAGTGAACAATATATTTTGTCAAAACATTTCATTATTATAATTATAATTTATTTATAAGTTTCACACAATGTGTGTTTGGTGTATCTTATAATTTTATTGCTTTTTAGCTAACACTGAAACTATTACAAAACTTAATTTTTAGGATAGATCTTTTCGAGCTATAAAAAGATTTTCTGAATTCACACATTGGAATCTTGAGGACAGGCCTTGTTTAAATGACAACATCAGAAAGGCAATGCAATGGATTTACATTTCTTCAGCGGTGAGAACTTTCTATAACATTCATCTTCATCATTGTCCATTAATATTGTAGAAACTTCAGAAACTTTGTATGACGTCTGTCATTGATTCATGCTTAAATTGCTTGAGGTGGAGATTATCACATGCATGAAAAACATGTAGATCTATGGATAAGGATTATATGTGTGATATAGATGAGAAGCAAAGTTCGATTTGTGTTATTGTACACAGAACTGTGTTTGGCAGAGAGTCTGTGGTGCCCTGGCTAACGTACTTGTTGATTAATTTGTAGGGATAATACATGATAAGGTATAATAGAGTAGTGTTGTGAGTGGATTATTTTTCTGCAAGTTGTGTTTTGAAGAGTGTATGTGCTATTCCAGTTGTAGATTAGAATGATATGATTTAGGTGAAGGAGCAAAGAGCTGTGTTTAGTTTCAACTCTCCAACTGCTGTAATGATTGAGAAATGTATTTTATATTGAACTTCAGTTTCCATTATGATAAACTCAAATGCAAAATAGTTATTTAGTTTAGAACTTCAGTTAATCAAAGGAAATTCTCCAAAATAAGATGTGTTTTTGGCAAAATTTAGATCCATCAACCTGTAGAGACTGACACTGTGTAGGCAAACAACACTTAAGAACGAGAATGATTAAAGTTGGTGTTTATTATTCTTACCTCAGGATGCAGAAGGATGATGTTTCAAAATGTTCTTCCTCTAAAAAGAAGAATGCGCAGTCAATTTCAATTTTTATTGAAATTTCCTTCGTCGCAATCATGACTGATCGATAATTTCTTAGTCCGATTGACTTCAATTCAAACCAAAACCTGTATATACGTAACATGTACATTGGAAAGCTACGTACCATTGATGTTGCTTTCAGTTTACGTAGAATGTGCAACAGAAAGTGGTTTGTTTGTATGTTGCTGTTTCCTGGTGAGAATAGCGTTATATCTTTTGTCTACAACGCATATAGCTTTTTAAAATACAGCGATCTCTGGGATATCTTTTTAATAATATTTTGTGAGGTAAAAAATGTGTTTGTATCTGAAAAACCAATAAGGTCTTCAATGTGTCCATTTTTTGCATTTTTATATTCTTGTGCGAAAAAGTTGTTTGATATGTACGTTTTCAACGAACAATATGGCATTTGCCAATATTTTTCACAATTTATTGTCGATTTCAGTTACTTTTCAAATGACGGTTGCCAAGTTACTTTCTAATAAAGTAAATGGTTTGAACCCGGGAGTATCGTTATATGTTTGTAAATGATGATCGTCCAGGTTAATAAAACATGACAATCAAAAACTAGGAACAACAGTTTATCGCAAGCCAACACATACTGACCGACTACTAGACCAATCATCTTACAACCCTACATCACACAAAGCCACCACAATCAGAACATTAACAAGACGTGCACAAATCATATGTGATTCACCGGACGCTCTACAAAACGAAAACAACTATCTCAAACGTGTTTTTGACAAAAACAACTATAACTCTGACTTTATCAAACGCAACACTTACAAACCCAACGAACCCAACGAAACGAACAACTCAGTGACAACAGCAACGATACCTTACATCAAAGGTACGTCTGAGACTATCTCGCGTATCTTACGACCATACAACATACGTGTCTCACATAAGCCAATCACAACATTACGACAAGTACTAACGAACATAAAGGACAAAGAACAACCCAACGAACGACAAGGTGCAGTTTACAAAATAAACTGCTCCGACTGCCACGCCTCCTATATCGGGGAAACTGGCAGGAACTTAAACATAAGACTTACTGAGCACAAACGAGCTACTAAGAAACAAGACAAAACTAATCACATTGCCGAACATCACCGAATCACAAAGCACAACATTGACTGGGACTCGGCAAAATGCATCACTTACAGTACTGACTATAGACAACGGCTTACATTAGAAAGTTGGTATACCAACTTGGAACAAACCCCCCTGAACAGATCACAGCAATTACCGGCACCTTACAAACGACTTATTCACAATACAAACAAACGATCAACTAAAACATTACACTTCAAACTAATTCACAATGACAATACACAATTGACACCACACATTACAACTAAAAACGTCACACCTAAATCACACATCACAACTAAAAATAAAATATTTCACTTCACACTAATCCACAATGACAATACACATTTCCTGCACATTTCCTGTACACACAATACAATGACGTAAGAACCAGACAATAAATACGGCTAACCTGACGTTTACTCCTCATTTGACTCTGAAGATGACTACCGCTAAGGTTGTCGAAACGTCAGTCAACAACATCAAAAACAGTCCTTCTCAGGACTTTATTAACCTGGACGATCATCATTTACTTTCTAATGTTGCCAGTTACATTTCCTAATATGGAATATTCTATATGAACTTGTCAACTTTAGTTGACAAGTTGTGTACTTGAGTAATGAAGTTGGGAACTAAAGGTTCGAAGTACTGGCAACCGCGAAAGGTCTTTGTACCCTGTAGACATTTGGCAATGAATCCGTTCAGTAAGCAAGGAAAAGCTTTAGCAATAGAAGTAAGAAGTGAAATACCTAAAAAGTGGTTAAATAACGAGCGTTTGACACACATTTCAAAACAACTAAATCTATCGTATAAGACTATATCAAATATAATAGATCTATATCAAATATAATAGATCTATGGGTAGACACTGGTTCTATTGCACCTCACCAGAGCGAATGTGATGTTCGAACCACGCGTACAGGTGACGTTATTGCATTCACTGAATATCTAAAAATTAATAAACCATCTATTTACACAAAACAGATTCAGCAACACCTAGAAAATAACAAAGTTTGCGTTTCAGCAAACATACCTTGCAGGTCATCCATTAGTAGAATTTTGAATAAAGATCTTGGTTACTCTTACAAGATAATAAGTCAAATTCCACGAGAGACAGAACGGCCGGACGTTATGGAGAAGTTAGAAGCTTACGTAGCAAATATTCCATTGATTGATTGCAACCGTATGCATTTCTTTGATGAGTCGTCTGTAGTTGTTACGAGTGGCAACAGACGTCGACGGCACAGTATGCAGGGTACTCCTGCATTTAAAATCCAACGATACTCTTCTAGTGCCACATTTACTGTAAATTTATTACATAATGTAAACGGCGTATCGCATTATAACATTCTTAGAGGGTCGTCAAACGGATTTGAATTGCTAAAGCTTTTCCTTGCTTACTGAACGGATTCATTGCCAAATGAAGGGTACAAAGACCTTTCGCGTTTGCTAGTGCTTCGCAACTTTAGTTCACAACTTCAGTACTCAAGTACACAACTTGTGAACTCAAAGTTGACAAGTTCATATCGAATATTCCATATTTGGAAATGTAGCTGGCAACATTAGAAAGTAACTTGGCAACCGCCATTTGAAAAGTTAACTGAAATCGACAATAACGCTCTTCTTTATTAGAAAATTTTAAATAACAACAAACAGCAGCCGTACATTCAAGCGGTTGACGAATATTCGAGTTCACGGTACATACCGACAAATTTTAAGTGTTTTCTACGTCATCGTGTGTACTATCTATCTATCTTACACATAAAATGACATAAAGGAATTTCTTGCTGACGCAAGTAAATCCTTAAACATTGAAAATAATATGCAAATGAACTTTCATTATATATATCAGGAAATCACTGGATTATACTATCGCTGGAATACTGGATTTGTGGTATTTTTTACCTAAATAATTTGTTGGAAAAAATTACCTTCGTATGTCGTGATACATCACTTGCCAAGATATTTAACCTGGAAACAAGTTTGCATTTATAAGAATTAGAGCGTGTTTCTTTGTCGTCGTTCGAAGATTGTTAGAAATAAATGTTTACAAAAGTTAATCGCCAAAGTAAAGCCAAGAATGTGTATTATATTACTGTGGTCGTAGTGTGAGCATTATTTGAGAAATTTTTGTTGTTTTAAGAATAACTTGGACATAAGTCAGTGTAGGAAATTATCTTGTTGTTTTGAATCCAAAGAGAAAAAGAACTGACATAAGCAGTATCGATTATTGTTCTTTGATACCAATTTACCAAAACCAAGCGTGCAAATTTATATCCGACAATAATAGTTCTAACGTCTCTAAGAACAACTTAAATCAAACACATAAGTTCGTCGGTAAAGTATAAATCTTGCTAGGACACAAAATATCTGTAATGTAGGGCACACAATAATGTACGTTCTGGTGGTTTACGAATATTCGAGTTCTCAGTACACCCCGACAATTTTTATGTGTTTCTACGTCATCGTCTGTACTCTCTATCTTTCTATCTATCTTACACATATAAGACAACATAAAAGAATTTCTTTCTTATACAAATAAATCCTTAAAAATTGTAATTAATGTACAAATAGAACATTCATTATATATCAGGAAATCACTGGATTAAACTATCGCTGGAATACTGGATTTGTTGTATTTATTACCTAAATATTTTGGTTTTAAAAAATTTCCTTCGTAAGTTGTGATACATCACTCGCCAAGATATTTGAGCAAGAAATACGTTTGCATTTGAAAGAATTAGACGTGTTTCTATACCCTCATTTAAACATTGTTAAAAATAAACGTTTGTAAAAGTTAATCGCCCAAATAGAGCCTAGAAAACGTATTTTATTACTCTGGTCCTAGTGTGAGCATTTTTTAAAGAAATTTCTGTTCTTTCAAGAATGAATGGGACGCAAGACATTGTAGAAGATTATGTTGTTGTATTGAAATCAAAGGGAAAGTGAACTGGCATGTGCAGTATCGATTAATCCACTTTGAAACCAACTTACCAATACCAAATATCCGACACTAATCTTTATCCTATAACGTTTCTAAATACAAGGTAAATCGAACACAGGCATGAGTATGTAGTTTAATTTTAATGGTATTAATCGCAGTAAAGTAAACTTGCTACTGCTAGGACACGCAATATCTGTAAACATATTACAGAATTTAGCCTTGAAGAGGTTTAACAGCTGGTTCAAAATCGCTTCGCATGGTGAGCACATGGTATGCTGGATATGTAAAAAATTGCAACAAACTCATCGTCAAATGACACTGCAATTAATTCCTGGATTTGTCAAACTTTGCAATATATTTGACGCATCTGTTATTAAAGTCTGATATAATGTATTACTGTTGCAATACGAATACGTGTTTTAGTGGTTTGAATTATTGTGTCTTTGACGATAAGCAGTTACAACAAACAAAGATCTTTGTTTTAGAAAGAGGCATAATTTCGCACCTACTTGAATTGCTAAGATAATGTTTACAAATTTCTCTTACCTGTTATATTGCTATCACTGGTAAAAGCTAAACATGACATGTTTGTTGAAAGTAAATACTAAGATGTAAAGCATTTAAAACATTACAAAAGATGTTGAGGGAGTCATTTATGTTGCTACGAAGATTGCAAAGCACTGTGGTTGATAATGAGTTGTTCAACCTTTCACAACCAATCAATTTGCTTGAATTGAATATCAAGCAATTATAATCAACATTCTATATGACTTTATAACCATTAGCAAAAAGTATTTGTGCCGCTCAGTTAAAGTTCTATAGTTGTAGTTTTTATGTCACTAACGACAATTTTAAACATGAAGTGATGTAGCTACTCAAGAGATGCAACTTCAAAACAAAGGTAACTTATTCCTTTATATTTTTTTCAGGACCATCAAAGAAAAAATAATAAATTATAGAAAAAAAATCTTGGGATTATGCTTTTTAAATTGAAAGCCCGATGGTTGTGTTATGTCCAGAAAATTTGAAGAATTGGTTAAATTGTGTTCTCTATCACTTACCTGTGTTATATGCGTTATATCTATTTCACCTCCGTGTGACTACAAATTTTTTTAAAACTAATTCCTTCGTCTTTGCGTTGAATTCTACATGTAGAGAATGGTGTGATGATCAGTGACACGTTTAAATACACTTTCTTTCAAGTTGTTTAAGGCCACTATATAGAAGTACTTGTCATACTTTTCTTAATCGATTTAAAAGGGTTTTATTTTTATCAAGTATTAAAAAGGCCTTGACAAATTTAACTATATATGTGTGGTTTCACCCTTTCTTAGTGTGATCACGTTATTTTCTACGAATTAAACGTCAAAGTTATCGTCGTTGGTTTTTACTATAGATCTATTGCAATATCTCATTATGGAAGTTGTATCTTTGATAAGAAAGATGAAGAAAACTATAAAAAAATACCTATAATGTTTATTGGTGGGGTTCTCAGAGAAGGTCATTAATCATTTTCAATTACATCATCGTCAACTGTAGATTTGACAGTTTCACTTTCACTTCCACTTAAACAAGTAATGAAAATTCCTTGCATATGCCTCCTGCCACATCAAACCTTGAAAAAATTCAAAACATAAAATTCTTTGTATTAAGTCAAACTTTGAATAATCAATAAAACTTTCAAGACTACTATCACCTTAGAACTTCACCTCCGTGTGACTATAAATTTTTTTTAAACTAATTCCTTCGTCTTTGCGTTGAATTTTACATGTAGAGAAGGGTGTGATGATCTGTGACGCATTAAAATAGACTTTCTTTCAAGTTTTTGTTTAAGGCCACTATATAGAAGTACTTGTTATACTTTTCTTAATCGATTTAAAAGGGTTTTATTTTTATCAAGTATTAAAAAGGCCTTGACAAATTTAACTATATATGTGGTTTCACCCTTTCTTAGTGTGATCACGTTATTTTCTATGAATGAAACGTCAAAGTTATCGTCGTTGGTTTTTACTATAGATCTATCCCTGCAATATATCATTATGGAAGTTGTATCTTTGATATGAAAGATGAAGAAAACTATAAAAATATACTGATAATGTTTATTGATGGGGTTCTCGGAGAAGGTCTTTAATGATTTTCAATTACATCATCGTCAACTGTAGATTTGACAGTTTCACTTTTACTTCCACTTAAATAATTAATGAAAATTCCTTGCATATGCCTCCAACCGCATCAAACCTTGAAAAAATTCAAAACAAAAATTTTTTTTATTAAGTCAAACTTTTCAAGTGTTGAATAATCAATCAAACTTTCAAGACTACTATCAACTTAGAACTTAAACTATTCAATGCTTCGTGCTGCAAGTATATTTTTGACCAAATTGTTTAGAAGAGAATTTTTTCCTTCTTGAGACGAATTTAGCTATATGAATTATGTGAAATTGTATATGAAAACTTATTAAAAATTAATTATTCGATATTTTTCAAAGCAATATGAGAAAGTAAATTAATGTTTTGTCGCCTAATTACATTTGCTTAGGAAGTACAGAAAAGAGATATCAGTTGTGGTTGCTTCATCGATATCTGGAACGTTATTAACTAGCGTTTTTTTTTTCATTTGCCCTGAATTTCATAGTCTCAGTCCTTAAATATTTACAAAAGTGGGTAAGGCAATGACGTAAGAATCAGATAACAAATACGGCTAACCTAACGTTTTCTGCTCATTTGACTCTGATAATGACTCGGTACTATACTAACCTGACGATTTAAATTTACAAACATGTAATTTTCTAGTATGTGATTTGTAGGCAGTGCCTTATATAAGATTACCGTAAGTAAGATATGGAAAGGGTAATAGACCATAATAGATCAATTTGAGCGAGTTTAAATTTACGAATTGCCGAATTTTGAAAATGACTCATGCACATTTAATAATTTTTTTTAAGATCAGGTCTATATGATCCTTCTACGTTAAAAAATCATCAATAACAATTGCAAGGAATGCAATGTTTTTGACACTTTCAATGTTTTCATTATTTATCGATATATTGAAACAATGCTCAGATTTCTTGTTTCGTGATCGAAAAATAATTAATTTTGATTTTGCCGCATTTAAAGATAGTTTGTTAGCGTTCAACCAATTCGCAATTTTATTCAATTCTATTTGGAGAAATTCATTGAAGGTTTTCAAACAAAAGTCGCTATAGAGTATGTTGGTGTCGTCGACAAATAGTAAAATCGAGACCAATTTACTACAATTCTGAATATCATTGATGTATAAAAGAAACAGTATAGGATCCAAAACTGATCCCTTTGGGACACCATTGGTTGCTGTCATTTTTCAGATTCTTTGCCGTTATACTTAACAAACTACTTTCTATTACATAAACATTTTCAAGTGATTTTTTAGCTATTCTTTTTGCCATAGTGCTTTAATTTTCTTATCAGAATCCTGTGATTAATCGTGTTAAAAGCTTTTGACAAATCAAGGAAAATACTAACTGAGAGTTTTCCTTGATTAATTGCTGTAGTGACTTTATCAACAAAATCATTAAAACCTGTCTATTAATATGATTTTCTAAAGCCATATTGGTGTTTGATAGAATTTTTGTTGATAAATTTTGTAAGCCTTTTGGCCACAAGTTTTCAAACAGCTTAGTGAAACAAGTTGAACTGATTTAGGTCGGCACTTTTCAAATTTATAATCCTCGCCTTAAAAAATTGGAGTAACAAGTGCTATTTTCAAATTCCCTGGTATAGTACCAGATGAGAATGATAATAAAGTGTATGGTTCGAACGCGGTAAAATTTGTGCTAAAGGCTTTGAGATATCGTTGGCAATTAATTTAATGATGTTTTCTTTGATCCTATCAAATCCCAAACTTTTTTTCGTTTTCACCTTTTTATGTTTAGCTATAGCTAAGTTCGTTTTCTGTGCATCAAGGTAGAGCCTAGCATTGCTACTATCGCAATAATATTTTTCAAAATTTTCATTGTTACTCCATTTAATTTTCTAGGCTAAGTTATGAATGTTAATGTCAATGTTAATAAAGTAATCACTGAATTTGTTTGCTATTGCAATCATTAAATTTGCTTGCTTCTGGTATTGATGTCACGCCAATTGATGTACAAGCATTGAGTTACACGCCCTAGACATCTATTGCCTTGTCAGGCCTCAGCGCTCGCGTAAGCCCTACAGGCAATCCTAAAAATGCTTTGCAGTCGCTTTAAACGTTTAAAAAGAGTTATGCTTCGTTCTAGTTGGAAAATAGGTTGTTCACCTAAGAAAATGCAGCACTAAAAATTAGGTTTTGGACGAAAATAGCTATGTTGGAATATCCAAACATGAAAGTTTAGGTTGATTGTTTGTAAAAAAAACACAAAACATGTAGAGGCCTCGATGTTTCAATGTACACTTACCGAAATAAAATTTTGAACTACTTAAAATTTTGAGTTTGATTTTTTGTTCTTTGTTGAAATGGTTTTTGCTAACCTTTTTTCCAATGGTGTTCCTAGAACGATTAAAATTCCATTTCAAAAAGACAGAAGTTTTATAAGTTTCCTGAGCCATATTTTGCAAACACCAACCCAGAGCCCTTTATTTTGAAGAGTTGGGGCACGTATTGTTCCTGGATTTTGCATTATGATCATGATAGTTGGGTAAGAAAGGTCACATGGGTATCTAGCCGCCATTTTTCAAAATCGCAAATTATAACCATTTTTTACGTAGGAGATCAATTATAAAAAATGTTTACAATGCTTTTATGTTGCTCTATAATAATGCCAATGAAAGCGATGCAGAATAGAAACCTATGCCCTCCCTTGTGGCAAAAACGTAAATAACATACATTGCATTAAATAAATGCATGAATCATAATTTTTGATGGTCGTCTGAGTAATTTACGAGGATGAAACGAATACCTCATTCGTTTCCAATATTTCTGAGCTCCGGAACATCCCCAATATCATTAACATCCCTATTTCAGTTGGCACAGCATGGCTAGTACGTCGCTGACCGCGTCTTACAACAAAAATTGTAGTACAAATGGAAATTTTTTATTTAATTACCAAAAACTTGTCTAAAAAGTACTCCTATTATTATTAAACAACAACTGACAGTAAATGAATGATCATACAAAATTTACAAAATACCAAGAAATTTGCAGTTTTTTAGAAATGGCTGTCATCTTGAATATACTTCTATCTTTCAAATTTCATTACAAAAGTGCTCGGCTTTACAGAGAAATTTACACTGGCACATACACTAAATTTTGAATACCACCCAAAATGAATGTTGATATAGCTATTTTTGTGCTTGTATCACGCCAAATGGATGATTCTGCTGTAAACTGCACGCTCTAATATAGCTATAAGTTTTGAAGTAATATTCTCAAATCGGAAGCAAATATCAACACCATCCTCATGTTCTGTAATTGTTTTTGAAGAATTCATACTAAAAAGTTCTTTTCTGTTGAGAAGAAAACGCTCTCGTGCAAAATGTGCTCGGTGTTCACTGTTTAGTCATCATGTGTGTGAACATTTTTTGTCCGTACACTTGCTTAAACTGCATGACCACATTGCATTTTATTAAATTAATGCTTAAAATTGAAAGGGAATCTGATTGCTTCTAGGTAAGAACAAAGGCTGAGACTAAAATACGCTTTCACTTAAATAAAATAAATATAACTGTAAATAGATGGCATACTCATTTCTTGTACTAAAGATAGCATAAGCAGGCTGAAATTTGTTTACTTTAAAAATTACTAAAAGAATGTCGATACTATACAAAATGTTGATATGATAAAATTATTCAATTGAGAAAAGTTATTTTACGTTAAAGTACAACTAAATAGGCGCTGTATTTTACTTTAGGATGTAATCAGATATAACCCCAAAGATCTTTCAATATAAGAACAACAGTGCCAAAAAAATCAAAACAAATCAAAGGATGTCAACTACAAACGATGAATACAATTGCTTACAAGTTCATAACAATTCTGAAAAGACCGTTACCGTTTTCATTTATGAAGGGTTTTCTCCACTATGCAAATTTTCCTCTTTTTCAAAAATAATCAAACCAGATCAAAACTATCACTATTATAACAAAAAGCCATTCAAGTTTAAAATTTTTGAAACTGAGAACAGTAAAAAGAAAAAAAAAAAAAGAAAGTTTCTTGGACCCAAGCAATGCTTTGGCATCATAGCGATCACAGTTAGTGATGGGAAAAATTCATTAAAATGCCAACAAAATACCCCAAGCGAAGATGACAAGAAAAGAATCGTTCGCCGAATGAAAAGAGAAAATGATTTGCCATCCGGAGACTTGTATGAGCAATTAGGATTAGACATGAGAGAAGTTCGTAAGATGGATGAAAATAAGCGAAAAAAAGTTATTAGAAAAGCATTTCTTAAAATGATTCTAATCTGGCATCCTGATAAACCTAATGGTGACAAGGAAATATTCGAACAGTTAGATCACGCAAAACGTACTTTGCTCGATGATAAAAAACGAGCTGAATATCACAACCAAATCGACTTCGAACATGGATGGTTTTCCTCCAGACGATGGAAAGCAATTTTCGCTCCTGAAATGGTAACTGTAGAACAATGCAAAGCTTTTCTCAATCGACTGGCTTGTCTTGGCTTGTCTTCTGCAATGGCTGTTGGTGGTGTCACAGCTACTGTTTGTACAGCTGGTTTAGCAGCTCCAGGTCTTGCAATATTAGGAGGCGTAGCTGGAGGAGCGTTAACATTTGCAGGTTTGCAATCTTTAGGGGAAACAGTAAGTAAAGAATCTGTTGTTGACGGAATGGACGTAAAGAAGTGGGCAAAAAAAGCATTGATTGGTGGTGTTGCTGGCGCACTGGCTGGAGGTGCTTCAGGTGGGATCACTGCAGCAATGGTCGGCATTGGAAGTGCTGCATTGCCATCAGCAGCCATTTCTATTGGTCAATATATTTCCATGGGAGCAGCGAATGGTGCTACTAGTGGACTAATTTTATCTTTGAGCGCTGATTTGGCAAAGAAAATAGTAGATGAAAAGGACATTTCAAATAGGCAGATTTTACTTCATACCCTTTGTAATGTTTTGATAGGTGCAGCAGCAGGAATAGCAGGAGAAGCAGTCACCGAAGCACTGGTGGACAGTGGATCAACAGCTGTAAAACCCACACAAGAAGGTGATGCGGCTGAGCAAATTTCTGTGCAAAAATCAAGAAAGAACGCATATGACGTAGTATGTGTGGTTGCAAAAAAAGCTGTTGAAGAAGGGACGAAATGTACTGCTAATGTGGCATACGATTTTGCCGAGGAACGACTAGATTCCTCAGTTGAAAATCGAAAATTGACAACGCACATGAAAAAGGGAGCTCAAACTATTTTGTTACGTACTTTTAGGATGAGTATAATACAAGCAGTTGGTGCAACACAAGGGTATTCATTGTTAAATCAAATGAAAGAAGTATTCAAGTTCGTTCCTGGAGATCTAGGTGATATGTTACAGAGTCTAATAAACGATAACTTAGGTAATATAAGTAACGGAATTGATGCGTATCCAGAATTTGGACAGGAGGGCATTGACTCTCCCGATGGCTCATACGAAAGTGAAGATCGATATAACGAAGATGAAAATGTGCAAAGTAGAGAAAGTGCACCAGAACCTTTTGAATTGCAATCAGAATCTTACATGCCTGTATATCGTACAATGGTGTGTGAACAAATGTATCATGCATCACAGGAAACAGCAAATACATTTGTTACAAATGAAGTCGGTTTCAATAAAAATTGCAGTACATACAAAGAGTCCTTAAAAAATAACTCTGAAGCAGAGGATTGCTTTGTACAATTTGCTGGAGATTGTTTGTTTCAAAACATCATTGACATTAAACATATTGAAAACTGTCCTAGTTTAAAACAGGTGCTAACTAAAACCATTATGTATAAATCTAAGGGTGCATGGATTTTTAAAATGATTGTCTCCTACTCTTTAAACGAAGAAAGAGAGACAAAAGAAGTAAGTGGTGATCGAAAAAGAATTGAAATTTCCGCCAACGCAACAGACATCGAAGTGAAATTTCAAGTTTTGCGTCCATTATGGGGTGATGTTATGAAATACAATCGTTTTAGAAAGACATGGAAAAAACCGAAAAAACCACACATCTTTCGATACAAAAAGGCAGTTGATCGCACGTTTACACTTAGTGGCATTCTTGGGTGGGGGGCAGTCATGGCTGTTACGGATGAGTACCATGAAGAAACAAAAGACCTGTGAACAATATTGCATTCTGTGTTTTTTTATTTTTGAGCACGTAAAGAAGATGCCATGGTCTTTAATAACTGGTAGTTGGGATTTATAAATAAAAAATTGAGAATAATGAGCTTAAATATCGTAATATGTTCTATTGGTACAGCGTGTCCAGTAAAGTGGCGTGACTTTCAACCAGTCTGCCTTCAATCATTCCAGAATGAGGTCCCACTCAGTTTTACGTTTTTGCTGTGAGAACAGGAAAACGGATTTTAAGAAGTCTTTTAGGAGCAGTCTGCGAGACTTGTTAATCTCATTTATTTTGTAATCTTCGTTAATTATTTTTGTTTATATTGAATATTATGAACAAACGCTTGTAATTTTTGTAACGTTCACTTATTTTACCAATGATGCCTATGTAATATTTATGCAAACGTTTAGAATAAATAATGTTTACTTTTCACTGACGTTATCAATCGTTAGGCAATGCATACTTTTCGTTTATTGAAAATATCTTTGGTTATATCTATATGGCTTATTTGTTACTTGATTTGCGTGCATGCTCATGAGTGAAATGCAGTCCAGAGGACAAACTGGTAATCTCTAGGTGTCGTGATAATGTGCGTTCAGATCAATGATCAATTGGACAAAAGTGAGCAGGTAGACAGGCAAAAAGCATTTGGTGTAATGTCTATTAAATTGTAAGCAAACTGGAACGATAATTCCTATAATTTTGTCCCATGATTGGTTAATTGGAGCTAACATACATCTAAAATTACACAAACTCCCGGCTTTGAAATTATGCATGCCTTCTTGGCGAGCAATGTTTGTTTTAACTTTTAAAAAAATACATTTAAAAAAATTATTTACAATACTTACTGCGTTGTAGCTACCATGCTTAGCGATATTTATCTAGATATTTTCGAGGAGAAGTGTAATCAGCATGAATCAAGGATGATCCAAGCTATAAGGCAGAAAAGGCTGAAAATGGATAATTAGCAACTTTCAGTATTACGCAAAAGGGTATAAAAGTACATCATTTTGGAGCATCATTCATGGAGTGATGCTTCAGGGAGTGAATAATCATCAATTCCCTTTCCAATATCCAGATAACCACAAACTTTCGACCATCCTATTTTACATGTTAGCTGTGGAGTGACATTTCATCCATCATCAAAGCGCACTGAACGTCCTTCCCTTCATCTTTTGTGGCTTGAACCTTCACTTTCAAAGCATTCAAGTCATCCTTGGTGACCCCGGGGTCATGAACCACAGAGTTATATCGCGATTGTATTTCTCTTTAGATAGGTAAGGCTAAATTAAACTTCTCTTAAACATTCTCATTTTATCATAAGCCTTTGGTGAATACAATTTCAATCCTTTTCAACCCTGAGTAACTGCTACTAAACGATTCAAAATATCTTAAGGAGCTCCAGATAGTGAAGCATTAAGAAGTTCCGCTTAAACAGAGCTAGTCATTCTATAAACTTTTAAACAATCAATGATAGGCTATATCTGATGTACGTTCTTTTTCAATCGGCTTTTTTCTGTATTAAAGCCTGTTCACACGATCCGATTGTTTCGGATCCGATTTCTGGACTTGTTGAGACGGCCCACTAATTTTGTTGATATTTACATTCGTTTACATATTTATAATCGGGAGAGCAGCCATTTGTGTTATACAGTACATTTATCGATATATTTTTCGTATTTTTATTCTCTTTTTCCAGCTTTTTTCAAATTTATGTAATTTCCTTTGATTTTACCGGGTAAAAAGAGAGCAAGCTCTATTTCTATCCAATTTGTTATATTGACGAATCCGGCTTCCGGAGGCTCAATTTTTATGTGTTCACACGATCCGCTTTTTAGGATGCCACAAAATCTCATACGACAAATTGGATCGTGTGAACGAGCATTTAGAGACTTATAACCCAGGACCGGATTAACCATATGACCGAAAGGGTGTCCGCCCACGAGCCCCGCGTTTTAGGGGCCCCATGCTTTACCCAATTCTAATTTTTTTCGGCGCAATTTTGGACGGAAAAAAGACCCAGTGTTCTAATAGTTCCTAAAAGAACTGTTTTAACCAGAACACTAACCCAACAATTCAAAAGAACCGTTATTTACAGCTAGAAAGAGACACTATGCATTTCAGCAGACTACTCGTCAGGTGTCAACGTCTGCTAAATGAGAACCTACAATTCATGCTATATTTATAATGTCACCAGAAGTCAATGTCATCCCTATTTTAAATTATTAATTAAATTGACTAATCCTGTCCTTTGCCGACAAAAAGGATTACGTGTTTAATCTGTCTCTGTTTTAAGTGTCATCTCTAAAAATAGGCATATGCCAATGATGGTAAAGGAGTTTGCTCTAAAGAAATTCCGCAAACACACTTTTTACAAAGTAAAATGAGAGTTTAGCAAAAGATATGTCACATTACTTACACGCACATTTTACATACATGTCGAGTAAGCATTCATCGCCGCATCAGAGCATGTATACTAAATCTTATGAATGTTTAGTTGGTTGATTATGTTTATTTTTTACATTAAGATCGAGTTCTCTATATAATTGTCAGCTAATGTTATTTTTATAAGCTTAGTTGGATGACAGTTCAAAATATCAAATTCATGTACATACGTTCTTTTTTTAACATATGGATATTTTTTCACATCATGGTATATTATTTTTTAGCGTTTCTGATTTCAAATCAACCTGAACTTCATCCTTCCTGGGAGGGGAGAAGGGCCCAGCGTTACAAAATGCCAAGGGCCCCCAAAAGGTTAATCCGGCCCTGTTATAACCTCTCTCTTTAAGTCAAAAACATCTTTAGACTGTCTTTTCAGTCTCCTAGGAGACTTAAGACAGCATAAGTGACCATGAAGAGAATAGTGACCACTTACCTAATTTTCAGTTCTCTCTGTCCATTCAATACCACGCATCTGTTGAAATTATGTTAAAACTGCACTATCTTGTAGACACACTTCGCTACCAGCTACTCTCTTTATGATAAGGGCAAAATGATATGAATAAACTCTGCTTTATTCGTTGATACTGTGAGGGGCGACCATATCTTTATACTTTCTACTCACTCAGCAAAACGTGTTGTCTTTATTTTCGTCATGTAAACTATTTTGCAATAGATTGATAAATTTATGATTTTATGCGTTAATGCCCGTTTTAAGCAACAAATAATCGATAGACTCTAAATTTTCATTTGTCAGACGTTGATACGCGAGGAGTAGTTTGTGTGATCACTTTAACCAAGTTTTCCCTATTTTTCAATTTTTTTTTGATACATCATGTGCAGCCAAAAATAAGATTAAATATTTGCAATCACTAGCAATGCACGAGGCAACAACGAATTGCTAGAGCAACTGAACGTCTCGTTTTCCCCCAAAATAGTAATAAAAGCGTCATATACTTGTAAATAAATATAAATCATACTCCATAGAGTATCATACCCCATAGAGTATCATACCCCATAGAGTATCATACCCCATAGAGTATCATACCCCACAGACTATCATACCCCATAGATTATCATACCCCATAGAGTATCATACCCCATAAAGTATCATACCCCATAGAGTATCATACCCCATAGAGTATCATACCCCATAGAGTATCATACCCCATAGAGTATCATATCCCATAGAGTATCATACCCCACAGACTATCATACCCCATAGATTATCATACCCCATAGAGTATCATACCCCATAAAGTATCATACCCCATAGAGTATCATACCCCATAGAGTATCATACCCCATAGAGTATCATACCCCATAAAGTATCATACCCATAGAGTATCATACCCCATAGAGTATCATACCCCATAGAGTATCATACCCCATAGAGTATCATACCCCATAGAGTAACATACACCATATAGTAGCATACCCCATATATTTTACTGTGTCAGGGCTTGTTTATATGGAAGCCAAGCTGGCGCGTTTACAGAGATAGCCCGTTAAGCAAGATCTTCCTACGTAGTATATAATATATTAAAATTCTCTTTGCGCTTGTATGGCGACATGGGCTGGTCTGCTTTGCGAGATCTCACATGGCACAGGCGAGATCTCGTCTCCTGGGATAAAATTTTTCTAATGTAAACACTCAACTGCCGAGCTAGCCCGCTTGCTGAGCTAAATTTTAACTATTTGGGCATTCGTATGATAACGTATTAAAATGGTGAAATACGTGCACGTGTAAAAGTGAGCAAAATAGAGACGAGGATGGGTAAAAGAAAAAACTTTCGCTGCGATACAAAGATGATGGAGCATTTGATTGATGTGTCTGATTATAAGTAAAAGATGGTTTACACAAGTTTTGATTTCGACCGCGAAAAACGTCTCGGCAAGCGAGATGAACGTCATATAAACACATCAAAAAAATTCATCTCGCTTACCTCGTACAATGTGAGCATATAAACTCGACCACGTAACATTTGTCTAAGCCTTAGACTCTAAGGGAAAGCGTTTGACTAATTTCGAAATCATTTTAACAGTTTTTGCGTTATTTCAATCAATAAAATTTTGATAGTTACTACGTACCAGGTGTACGCAGCGTATCTATTTCAATAGAGGCAGTAATTCCCAATACTATTCCAACATGAAGTATTGCAATTCCTAATAAATCTTGGCTCTTGGCTTGGTGTGGCATTCATAGCCAAAAAATTTATCGTGAAATGTTTTTTTCTATATTTCTTTGCCTCTGGCATTTAGGTATGGTTAATTTTTTCGTTTTTTTCATTTTGACGTAAGATTTAAAATATGACTTTTACGAAAAATATGTACTAGTACTTATTGTTGCCTTTAAAATATGACTGACTTTTAAATTTCGAAGGGCAAACTCTTTTCTCTTGAAGCTGTTAACTTATAGACAGACTTCATTCGTAGCATACGGACTTAATTGTTAACGGATTGCATAGTGACTTCACCGGTATCATTATTCTTAACCTATATAATGAATGAACTCATTCCCCCCATGTAATCATTAATAAATAGGAATTAATTCTTTAGAATATTAATGCATTACAATGTTTAAGCGAACAATGTATAGAGCCAAGAATTTTGTGTCATGCCGTGTCCTCCTCAAAATACACTGTCTTCTGTGGAACTCTTGCAAGATTCACACCACATCACAATTTCTTCTTCTGATACAGTATGGCTACAGGTTGTCCAGCCAGGTCAGTCTGATGCTTCTCCTGGTTTATATATATTTACAAACTCTCATCGGTAAGTGTAAAGACATTTGCAAGTATTTGAATTGAGTAACCTTAAGAGTTGCTCATTTTGTTGAAGAAGGGGCATATATGCAGGGGCGTATCTAGCAAAAAATTTTTGGTCACACTTTTTTATGAAGAGCCACGCCCTATGATGTCATGATTTTCAATCATACGTATACTAAGACATACGTACTTTATTGAAGTTTAATGAACAAATTTTAAAGTGCAAACAAACATCATATAACTTTCTAACAAATCAAAATAAAAATTACTGTCTCAGGTTATGATCTTAACTTCATCATCATTTTAGTGGCCATGACTCTACATACAGCTATTAAGTTCACCCACAGTAAACTTAAGGTAACTTTTAGATTTTTAACTGTACACATGATAATGAATGACATTATGTTAAAGGAGAAATGTCAGTATTAGCATAACTGACCTCAAAACTTTTAAATTCACAATAAAACCATAAAATAATAATACAACCACAAATATTCTCATATACATGTGCATGTCAAGTATGAAGCAAAATTCAATTTTTGAACAGTCACAATATTCTATCGTCACATCCTTTTGGAGTTTAAAATCAAAACATTTATAAACCTTTTCAAATCTTTAAAAATAACACACTTGAGCTAAATATTTATAATCGTGCATTACAAGGGGTGGGAAACTTAGTCCAAATACAGTGATAATTAACATTATCTTTGAATTTTCTTGTAAAAGGGTAAAAAGCACAAATAGCTTGCAAAAAACCTTGATTGGTGAAGTAAAAATACAGCTTTATAAAACAAAACCAGTTTGTAAGCTAAATAGGAAATAAAAAAATAAAATGATATTTTGTTTACAACAATGATATAGCAACATTAAAATGAGCAGACACATTAAAGACAACATCATAAGTTTTCACACTGATATAGCAACTCAATTTTTTCTGTCAAAACTAACATACACAAACCGAAGCTGTCATTCTGAAATGTCAATACCTTTTAATAGGACATATACAACCCAATTATTCTTTGTCGGATGCTTCAGTTAACTCCAAGTTGCTGAGAAAAACTGCAACTATCCATATCATTTAAACATTCATCTTGTATCATCATGTTTAGACCATGAATGGAATTACTTAGAATAGCTGGGTAAGATTTCAGTTAACTGTCCATAATTGTCAAATAATCATACAAACAATGCAACCAGATTTAAAGTGAAACCATGCAAAATTTCAATAAATTCACAAAAGTTGCTTTTATGAAAACAATCATAAGACTCATCATGCACTTTGTATGCAGACTCTTGTCCAGACAATAAATTTCAAATAAGCATTTTTATACAGTAATTTCACCATATCCCTTCACTATAAGCTTGAATATGCAACATGCCTGCCTAATTTGTAAATGGAATGTACACAAGGTGTAATACTTTAACTATTGCATGTCCAACGTCTTTAGCAATGTCGATTCAGACATATATTGTGCAATGTTGCAATGTCGTACTTCTTTAATCTGAGACTGTCTGCGTCCATGATGTTGAAGTACCACAAATATACGAAACACGGCAAACAAAACATAACTTGCTTTGAAAAGTACAATAGAGTCAATCTTTCCTCGGAAGAAATGATAGCAACTGCAAGGAGTTCAACCTCTAGCTAGTATAGAACTATACAATATATCACCAAAATGTTTGGGCTTTAGATAATTCAATGTTCGTCAGTTTGGAGAAAAGATCGTTTTTCATGAAGTCATAGCTGTAAATTTCGCCTCAACTTATGTCAATCTTAAGTTACTAGCGTAAGTCTGTGAATCCGTTACAAACATATTAAGCATACTTTGTTTTAGCCGATTTTTAATGTCAAAGGCTCAAGTTGGGCTCTATAAAATGAGCTTGATAGGCCGTATTCTGTGCCCCGAAAATGTGCTTAGAAAACGATTTTCGTATGTAAAAATATATAACTAAATAAAAATCACACAGAAATACTTAATGAAACTCACTTATTAAGATTCGAGATGTTTACACCTTTTAAACTTGCAATCTACGCTGTAATAGCCAGTGGCGTAGCTAGCGGTCTGGCTGGTCGGGCCCAGCCCGACCAAATATTTTCCCAAAAATGAAAAATTTGTTTTCTTTAAAATTGGATTTGCGAAAATTTTAAATTCTGCGACTCTTTTTGGAATAATCCACAGTCTATTAGTGTAATATTTGTCAAATTGCGTCGTTATTAGCAAAATTATCATATTTTTAAACGTTACTTAGCAACAATGACTAGTGCATTTCTAGTGCCAGGCAAGGCATTACGCAGTTTAGTCGGGCTCTGAAAATTCAGCCCGACCAAATAGTAAAATCTATAGTGGGATTATCTGCAATCTGATTGGTCAACAGCAACTGAGCAAACTCAAATGCGCTGTTTCGCAACATCTAGTCGGGCTCTGAAAATTCAGCCCGACCAAGTAGTAAAATCTATAGTGGGAGTATTTTTAATCTGATTGGTTGAGAGTAGCTGTGAACACACTCAAACGTTTAACAACATCTTGTCGGGCTCATTTTCAAAAGCGTGACTTGAATTTTGAGCTTTCGAAATATACGTTCGGAAATCGTGATAACTTACATTACAATGGCTTCGGCTAATGAAATCGATATAATAAGTGAACTACGAAAGAAACCCTTTTCTATTCGACAATCAGGCGAGCAAAATATACTCGTAAAGCAGCGGCCAATTCCAAATTTACAAGCGACTACAGGCTATAGAAGCTTTCAGGAAAGTTGGTACTCGAAGAAAGATTGGCTTTGTGGTAGCTCAGAAAAGAATGCATTGTTCTGTTGGCCTTGTCTTTTATTTTGCCCTTGATCGTCATCTTCATGGACGCAGACGGGATTTAAAACATGAAGAATTTCCTATCCGATTGTAAGAAGCATGAGAAGGCAAAATCGCACATGGGTGCCTACAAGACCTGGAAGACCTACGGTTTTCAGCCTCGTATCGACTGTCTCATGTCACAAACTAGACGTGAAGAGATTCAGCGTCATAACGAGGAGGTAAGGCAAAACAGGGAAATGTTGAAAACCATAACAGAAGCTGTTTTATACTTGTCTAGGCAAGAGCTTGCATTTAGGGGGCATGATGAATCTAGTAGCAGCATGAATAGAGGAAATTATAGAGAGCTACTTGAAAGTTTTGCCAAGATGGATTCTGTTTTTGAAAGGCGATTACATGGAAGGCTTGCTGAAACCCACCTTGCTGGGGGAGGGCGGTTTACTGGAGTCTCTCCTGATATTCAGAATGATTTGATTGATTGTCTTGATAAGATAATAGAGGATGAGATTTTAAAGGAAATATATTGCTGCACTTTCTTAACTATACAGGTTGATGAGGCAACTGATGTTTCTACCAAAGAACAATTGAGTGTAATTGTTCGAATGGACAAAGGGGAAAGTGTCATTGAAAGACAGCTTGGGTTTGTTGATGTTAGTTGTGATAGGACTGCAACTGCTATATCATCAGTGGTTAAGGGTAAGTTAAGTCAATATAATAATGTGAAAGAGAAATTTATTGGACAGACTTATGATGGTGCATCTGTTATGTCTGGTCATCTCAATGGTGTTCAAGCTCAAGTTCAGCAGGATTATCCTTATGCTCAATTTGTTCACTGTGCTGCCCATAGACTAAATCTAGTATTATGTCAAGCTGCATCCTCCATCTCACCTGTTAAGATTTTCTTTGTTAATATTAGTGCTTTCTGCACCTTTACTAGCAATTCCCCCCAAAAGAAAAGCTTTACTATCATCCCATAGGCTTGAGTTTCCTAGTCCTGGTGACACAAGATGGTATTATAGGCTCATGTCATCAATGTCTTGCATTCTAACTATGAGAAACTGATAGACATATTTGAAAATCTTACTGATAATCCAATAGGTTGGGATGATGAAACGTTAAGTAAGGTTACTGGTTTACTTGGCTACCTTAATGGCTTCTTGTTTTGTTTCTTGGTACATGTTTTCCAGAGAATTCTTGAGCAGTCATCCATACTTTATTCTATCTTGCAAGACAAGGACACTGACTTTCATTATGGAATGAGTAGGTTTGAGAGATTCAAGGCCTTTGTTGCTTCTCTGAGAAATGATACAGAATATTGTCAGGTGTACGACCTGGCTGTTGAGAAAGTGGGACCACCAGTAACCAGGTATGACCAACGGCATAATTACAAACAAATGTATTTTGAAATTCTTGACACAATTGTGACTATGCTGACTGAGCGATTTCAGGATATGGAGCGTTTTAGATTTTTGACCTTGTTAACCCTAGGGTGTTTAAGATGTGGAAAGGTGAAGTGCCCTCAGAAAAGATAAATCTTCTAAAGGAGGTTTATGGTGATATGTTTGACATACCAATGCTAGTTAGCCAACTTTGTTTTATTTACAGAGATAAAGACTTTCACTGTGATTCATGCGATGAATTATTGAAATATATTTTTCAGTTCCATTATCAATCTAGTATTCCAGAAGTTGTAAAACTGTTAAAGATAAATGGGGTTTTGTCAATTACAAGTGCTTCAGTTGAGAGGTCATTTTCTTGTTTGAAGAGGGTAAAAAATTATCTTAGAAATACTATGAGCCAAGGACGTTTTAGTTCTCTTTGCAGGATTTCCATTCACAAAGACATACTGTCAGAGAAAGAAGACGCCAACACATTGCATGATGAGGTAGTAAAGAAGTTCATTGAAAAACCACGAAGACTTGCTTTCTTATACAAATAGGTATTCATATATATTATATGGCTATAGCAAGCTGATGATGTCTTACGTCCATGGCATGTGAGAATTTTTCCGGGAACTTTTTAATGCAGTCAATGATGATTGTCATTTCAGCACGACAATTTCATCACAACTTTTGATAGTTGTTGATGACAAATCTGAGCCTTTTTCGGTTCTTTTGTCAAAGTTTCTTTACAAGATGTACATAGGTATCTATTTATGTATGTGGTGTTGAGAAAATAAATCACATATCTGCAACTATTTTTGAACTGTTTCTATGCTTTACTATAAGATCCTTCGGCAATTTAAATTAACCAAAATGGTTCTATTTCCTGCATAAATATCACGCATTTGCTTTCTAAGATAGCCGTTTCCGACGTTCTAGTGAGTGTAAATTCGGAAAATTTTCTCGCTCGGCGCCAACCATGGTGGCGCCTCGTGAGCCCGACCAAATGTTTTTCGCTAGCTACGCCACTGGTAATAGCACTTTTTAGGTGACAAACTCGCTCTTTGATTTTTCCTGCCGCCATCTTGTTTTTAGCTGTATTTTTTATGAAAACCGTACGTTTAGCAAACACAGAAATACTTAATAAAACTTACTTATTAAGATTCGAGATGTTTACACCTTTGAAACTTGCAATCTACACGATAATAGCACTTTTTAGGTGACAAACTCGCTCTTTGATTTTTCCTGCCGCCATCTTGTTTTTAGCTGTATTTTTTATGAAAACCGTACGTATGAAAACCGTACGTCTGTTATCTTAGCGTACGTTTTGGTGCGAATGGTCAAATCAAATCAAGATGATTGCCTTCCCTCATGGACAGGATTCAATACTTTTCCAGTTTAATGATTTCTGCAAAGAAAATCTGTTTAGTGACGACAAAGATATATATAAAAAGATTAAAAAGAACAATATCATAACTTTTACAACCAAAGCAATTACCGTCAAAGACAGCAAGGGACAACAACTTGCTGTGAAGTCAAGCCGAAATCTATTTGCCAAACTACTGGTTTTGTCTAAGACGCGCAATGTCGACTTAAAAGAGTTGTTATCTTTCAGCCTTAGCGAATTTCCACTGTCCCTTGCAACTCCAACAGGCGGCTTTGTCAAGACAGCCAAATCAAAAATGTTTGAAGTTATGGAGACGCTGGGTGACAAATCAGTTCTTGTAGATGTTCAAAGCCTTCCAGGCAAAAGTACTGCTCTTCTCGTAGACGCGATGGCAGTCTTGCAAGTCATCAAGGGAAAATGGAAGACATTTGGTGAGTTTGCTGACTCGACTTTAACCTATTTAACGAATCTTGCTGCGAAATGGTCTGCCACGAGGTTGGATTTTGTAGGTGATCGATATCCCGAAATTAGCATCAAGAATACGGAGAGAGCTCGCAGAGCCAGTGTTCAAGGTATCTGTCATACTAGCGCAGGAGATTATTATATTTTTAAACTTCAAAATTAATTTTTGTTCCTATTACAGGAGTACAGACAGTTCACATTTTCAATGATGCCCAGAAAATCCCCAAACAATGGAAAAAGTTCATGAGCTCTGGAAAAAACAAAGAGTCTCTCATGGCTTTTTTGGCAAATCAGTGGCGTACCTATCCCTCATCTTTCCTGCGCTCCCTTGCATGCTTGTACATAACGTCGCGTGATAAGTGCATTTGCCTTACTTCGGCAGTATCCAAAGATAACCCAATTATCTCCAATAATGTCCCAGAGTTAGAAAGCGATCATGAAGAGGCAGATACCCGTCTTCTTCTGCATTCCAAGCACTCAGCTCAAACCTATGACAGAATCATCATTAAAACGCCTGATACAGATGTCCTTGTTATATCTATTGCCATGCAAAGCTTATTGAAAAGATATATACTTACTAACAGGAACAGGTTCTAACACTCGCACCATAGACGTTGGAGCTGTATCTGATGAGTTAGGAGACGCTCTCTGCAAATGTTTACCTGGATTCCATGCATTCACAGGCAATAATTTATGACACTGCTCATTATTATTAAATACATAACATATTTAACAAGTATAACATGTTCATTTGTAGGCTGTGATTCCACAAGCGCCTTTGCTGGAAAAGGCAAAGTAAAGCCTTGGAAATTGCTTTTAGAAAATCCTGAGTTTTTAGAGTCTTTCTCGTTGCTTGGCCAATCGTTTGAGATTTCCGAAGAAGTTTCCACTCTTTGAATAGATTTGTCTGCCTGCTTTATGGCGACAAAAAGGGAACTTGCGTCAATGATTCAAGGTAAGGCCTTGTTGCGAATTCTATTCACACATCTGCACTTTTTGTATCTTTTTGGATTTGTAGGTACGCCTTGTTTGTGTCTGGGAAATGTTCTGACGATTGCCTCCCCCCTAACACAGACAGTCTGATTGTGCACATCGAGAGATCAAACTATCAAGCATATATTTGGAACAAATGCCTTCTGCCGAAAATGAGACTCCAGCCCCCGTCTGGAAACGGATGGCTCATCAAAGACGACCAATTGAAAGTACTATGGATGACTCGGCCGTCAGCACCTGACACCCTAATTGAGGTCGTCACCTGCCATTGTAAAACTGGGTGCAAAACCCTTAGATGCTCATGTTTGAAGTCTGGCTTTAAATGTACCGACTTGTGTGGCTGCGCGGACTGCTGTAATTTTGTTGCAGGAGATGACGATTTGTCAGAAGATGAGAATGATGATGATGATTGTGATGATAAAGACGATGAGTACGATAGTGAGGAAGATTAATAGATTTACAGATTTATAGATTATCGCTTGAGGAATATGCGCGCATCACATCAAATTTGTCGATTCAGGTCGCACGTTTAGTATAATTAGTCATATAATAATATAATGTTATGTATTATTTGCTCATATAATTAGACCATTTAAAAGGTCATATGAATCTGCATTGTATTTGAACGAAAATAGCTAGTAAGAAAAGGTCTTACTAGGACGCTTACAAGTAATGAGTAATCTTCTCTATAATATTATATAAGTATTTAATGATGTAAGCGCACGGGTTGAGGTCATCCACTCAGAACAACTGAGCCTTTCTTTGTTTATAATGTTCAAATTTTAGATAGATACCGCTTTCCCGCAGTTTTGCACTGCTAAAATACATAAGAAATAATTGAAATCCTAAATGTCACTATACTCACTTTGATCAAATACTGTAGTTTACTAAATATATATTTTCTCACTTTTCTGTTTTAAATTAATAAACAATATGTATATAAAATACTTCAAGCAAAAAAAACGGAAAAAACTAAAAAGACTGCCTTAAAATCCTCGATTTTGCCGCCTCTTTCTCTATCTGAGCCTGCGAATAATACAGCGGTCTTCCACAAAAAAGAATGGCGGACTATGGAAAAACAATAGGATTCAATTCGTAATTTCGAGGGCTAAAACTCCCTAGATTGCAAGATTTGGAGGTGTAAACAGGTAAATTCCTGTTAGTTATGGAAAAAGCAATCAATTCATGTACTTTTTATGTAGTCATATATTTTTACATACGAACTTGAACGATAATCGACCACAGAATACGGCCTATGACTAGATGCTCCAAATCTGCGTGTTTGAGCATGCTCAGATGTCATTAGCCAATTAGATTAGGAATATTTTTTCTATAAAATATTTTTTATGGTCGGGTTGAATTTTGAGAGCCCGACTAAGCTGCGAAGAGCATGGAACGACACACTGTTGCTACGCAACTTCTCACTAAATGCAAATTTTGAGTTTAATTAAACCAAAATCGTTATTTAAAGATTTAGATTTTCCTCTCAACAACTGCAATAAATTGATCAAAATTGTTTTGAAATTCAAGCTCATTTATTTTCGCACAAATTCTTTCTTTTGGGGGAAATTTTTGGTCGGCCCGACCAGCGTGACCTCTAGATACGCCACTGCATATATGGATCAAGCAGGTTCTGAAATTAAAATTTTTTTTCAAGTATCTACATAGATAACTGGGTTTTGGAGTTTAGTATCCTTGCTTATCATCTAGTATCCCATATATGGATTACATAACTAGTTGGCTTTTCTTATTCCTTCGTCAGATAGAATATAACCTGTGGCTTACTCTCATAAGTTCATGATGAATGTTAAAGTTCCTTTTTCCATGTAATGAATCCAAATATTGGACCAGTAAAAACATTATTTGCTCTCCGTTTTTATAAAATATGTCGTATCCCATAAAGATACAGGTAAAATATTCTCGCTATCCAAATAAATAATTTTTATTATCTTGTGGACATCACGATACTGTCAGTCAGTCAGTCAGTCAGTCAGTCAGTTTGTAATTCAGTCAGTCCGTCAGTCAGTCTGTCAGTCCGTCAGTCAGTCAGTCAGTCAGTCAGTCAGTCAGTCAGAGTCAGTCAGTTTGTAATTCAGTCAGTCAATCAGTCTGTCTGTCAGTCAATCAGTCTGTCTGTCAGTCAGTCAGTCAGTCAGTCAGTCAGTCAGTTGGTAAGTCGGTCAGTCAATTTGTAATTCAGTCAGTCAGTCAGTTAGTCATTTGAGGATTTTTTTTGGAGGGGGTAGGGGGGAACCGGCAGAATGAGTCAAATGATAATCTAAATTTTTACTGGAACAATGAGGCTTAAATGCTTATTTCGAAATATAAGTCATGTCTAAATGACTAAATATTAATAAATCTTAATAAATGTTAAATTACCAGCCATTCTTCTCATCTGCTCAATCACGAAAAGATGCAAATAAACAAAATATGTGGTAGACTGTAGAAAGTGTAATCATTTCATGTTTGGTTAAATCCAAAATTACGTCAAACACGAAAATTAAAACTTCTTACAGAAGAACACGTTTTCTATCACCTTATTTTTGGCCAAAACACTTGTCTTGATAAGTTTTATTTGCTTGTTTAGCTTAAAAGATTGAGTAAATTAAGATTGGGTGTTTGGATTAGTGATCATTTAATGCCATTTATGTTTGTTACTTGATGTTACTACTCATGAAACTATTACTAATATATCCCTGACATTTTAGGAGCTTTCCACATCCACATCACATCCGAACAAAGTACTTGATTGTTGGGCGAATTGAAAATTCTGAATTTTCTTCTTAAGATAAATTACGTACTTATTACTGTATTTAAGATGTGAACCTCTGAAATGAAAATGTTCCCGTGTTTTTCCTTTATTAATGAAACAGTTGGTAAAAAATTTTCATAAAAAAGGAACATAGAGAGGCGACTCCCCCCCTTCGCCTCCCCTTACTGTCAACCACTGCTCAGTCACTCAGTGTGATTTATTTTTAGATACATCATTAATGCGGGTGAAAATACATTAAGGAATTTTCGCATGGGTGGATTACCATCAAAGGGACTTGACAAGATGTTCATGACTGGCTCAACAATCAATCACATTGGTGGTTTGACGAACATGCTTCTAGCGACGCAAAATGATAATTTTTCGGTCGATAAACTTGTCGATGTCTACGGGCCACCTAATCTGGATGCATTCTTACAAACAATACAGAAATCTTTTCAGTACATGAGTAAGTTCGAGTTTGTAAAACCTCACCAGATTGAGGAACGAATAAAGTGGCTGGAAATTGCGAGTGATGATAATTTTCAAATTTTCGCCTTTGCTACAAGCGATGGTTCGCAAGAGAACGGTCGGACGATTTTCCCAAATCTTGCCGTTTCTTACGCGTTTTTATTACAAGAACCACTACGAAGAGTTCGCATGGATGTGGCAGAGAATCTTGGCCTGGGGCAGGACGTTTTGAGCAACGTTATAGAAAAGTGTCAAATGGGATATTCTGTTGATTTACCTTGTGGAACACAGGCGAGTTAACTATCCAATTTTAAACTTAGTGTATCATTTACTTGAACTGCTCATGTGATAAATGGAAAGTTTTTAAACGACGTTCAAAAGGCAGTAGCTACATATTGTGAGTTTGTGCACAGTTTGAGTTACCATGTTTTATGTTTTAATTTTCCAGAGAAAGGCTGCATAAAGCCTGGATAGCCTGTCGACTGCATTGTGGCTTTTTAAGCCTAATAAAAAGTTGGTTGTATTTTCTTCGCGAAAATTAAACCTATTTAATCTATTAGTTGCAAATCATCGTTTTTTTCCTCTTAAAGAAATTTTTGTAACGTTCCGAGAAAAAACATTACCATACACATGCTAGCCTATCCAGTTCTCATGTAACCTGCCCATAAAGAGTGCTAAATCATTAACCCTTTACGTACTTCCTAAGTTTTTTGATCCTCTGAGTTTTGTATGGTTTCCTTGATATTGCCATAAGGCAACACTGGGAGACAAAGGGTTAATCAGGACAAAGATTAGCAACTGTTGTTAATCTCAACTATCTACGCATATATTCTGTTATACTCTAAAGTGATCGGGCTATTTCAAAGGTAACTTGTAAAGAAATTTTGTGCTTTTAGCCAATAATGCTGCAGGTTGATTAAAATTGTTTGAATATACAAGTATAAATTCTTGCAAAAATAATTTATAGTAACTAAATTGATTTTTGTGCTAAAGGGTTTTTTGTGCTCTGTTTAGATCAATCCAGATGACATCCTTCATCCGACGCCACGTCGACAATCATTTGTTGTCATAGATTGTCCATCAAAACAAGTCCTGAACAAATTATCTTCTTTCATGTCACGTGATTTCTTCTCAAGTGATTTGCACACTCACGTGGACATAGTAATTCACATGACCGGAAAAGATATAGCAAATTCCATGGAATACAAATCTTGGATGACAACGTTTGACCCAGAAACGAAACATCTTATGATGAATGAGCACGTGATTGAAAGACCAGCTTTCACCGTCTTTGATGAAGTTTATGATAGGTTAAATAAACTTCACGTGAACATTTTCCCGCCGCTGTACTATTCATTGTTTATGGATAAAATTCACTCTGGTTTTAAAGATTTTCCTGAGGGTTCTGTCCATTTTGCTGCTCCGACTTTGAGGTATAATTTTCGGCCTATAGCCTTTGAAGGCTTTGAACAAAACTTGATGGCTGTAAAAGCTGTAAATGAAAAAGAATCGTCGGCAAATGGAAGTCGTTCAAATGTGTTCGCAAGCTCTACGTTGAGCAACGATTTTCAGGTTGTTTTCCTTGGAACTGGTTCACGTATTTCATCAAATCTTCGCAACACTAGCGGGGTTTTGTTGAATTTGAGGTAAGGGAAAATCCTTAACTCAGTAAACAAGTTTACTTTAAACAATCTTAGCTTTATATAAATTACATGTGATGGACATAAGACATAGAGGGCCACTTTAGGTGATAGTAAGAGCTACGATATCTCGTTGCAAATGCATCGAAAAAGAATGGTTGCAATTGAGAAAGGATTTCATACTTGCAACATGAAATAGTGAGCCTATTGTACTGAAATATTTTGATGGATTGCTAGATTTTTCATGGTGTCTGCTATTGTATTGTGAACAATGACGTAGCCAGATCAGAAATTTTGTTATGCTATGTAAAGTTAAATGTGTTTCTTACTAAGAAAATGATGTAATCTAAAATTTACATACCACGACCAAATTTGTATGCTGGCTATACCATAGACTGTGTATATGTAAACAGGACAAGTGAGCAGTGAACTCTCCGACGTTTCGCTGTTCCTTTACTTTACTGAAAATATTGTTTATGCAACTTTGGCAACACTGTTTCGTTATTACATAGTGATGAAACGTCCATTTTAATGGACTGTGGCGAAGGGACGTTGAGACAGATGTTTTATCATTACGGAGACGATGTGAACACGATGCTAAAGCGAATCCGTACCGTGTTTGTCTCCCATATGCATATTGACCATCATTTGGTAGGTTCGTACTTGTATATTATTGCTCGTATTAGTTTTACAATACTCCTACATAACACGTTGGCTCAATCTTTTTCACCTAAGATACGTAAAACGAAGTCTGTAAAAATTATTTTCTTCAATCGAAACCAATTTTAGACAAACCATCTTGATTGTTTAAAAACAGTCTATGGTTAGTCCACAGACCAAATAAGTTCATTGTTGATATCGTAATTTTAAATCTAAATGCCATAGAAACTCTGTTAATTGCGAGTTTTCAAAGAATCAAATCTTACAAATCAAATGTGTTTTAGGTGTTTTGGCTGAGCTCCAATCTCTAACCTGTTATAATACTTACGCAATCAATATCTTTAATTATTATTGATGCATGTTAAACAATAAATATTTATGATAAATTATCAATTTGTAGGGTCTTGTCAATATTTTACGACATCGTAAGAAGATTATGGTGAGCATGCAGGAATGACTTTACAGCTTTACATGTCTTCTTTTTATTTTGTAATCATTTTATGCCAAACTTTGCTGTTTTAATAGTTGCAAAATTACCTTTGTGTGTTGCAACGGTTGAAATTTTCCGGTACTTTAGAAGGTAAATTGTGTCTTATCTAGGGTGGTTCAAGTTTCGTAAGAATCATTGGTCCAGAAACTTTGGATTTATACTTAAGATATTTTGAAATGATGTGTGGTGAAACTTTCAACTTCAGGTGAAAATTCTATCTCTGTGTGTTTTTTGGGTGTTTATTTTTTCATTTCTTTTCATAAGTTAGCACTAATGACATTTGACTTTTTGTCAGTTCCGTAGCCACCTCGATAATTGTAGGGCCAATTTTCCTGTAAATGAATTGTTTTCTGCGGATGTTGACATGCATATATGAATAGCCTCCTCCTCTATTACTGAGGCTAGCTAAGGCATTGATTTGTGTAGGTAATAGTTTAGTTTCAAGGGCAATTACGTGTAAACATGCACGAGTGAGTATTTTAAAGACTGCTGCGCAATAGCGTGAGTCCGAAGAACGATTAAAAACAAAATACTTTGAGTTATTTTTTGCCTGTACCTTCCAACTCTGTCTTGTTTCGTTACTCTCTTTAGCTTCAGATAAGCTTCGTTATGCGGTCTCACTGTTAAAAATATTCCCCCGAAAACAGTACTTGCTCCTTTGTTTTTATTTTTGCATTCTTTTGTAATTCTTGAATTTCAAACGATTGCAATTGTGGAAATCTTTGTTTACTTACTACTACCGCCATGTATTTTTCTGAGTTGTAAAAAAATTTGTTTGGCTTTCACTGTTTCAGCCAATCAGGTTACAGTAATTACGGTGCAACTATACTTTTCTCCTGGGCAATTACAAATAAACTGCGTTACAATCAACCAATCACAGTGGAGAAATATCTCATACTATATTATTAGTAAATTGTTTGGGCCTGAATATATTAGCGAAATTTCTTAACGAAATTCGTGCATTTTTGTGCATGAGTTCTAAAATGACTAACTTACAGCAACCTTGTTGTTTAGTCGCTCACTATGTGTGTTTTTTAGGTTCACTCAGTTTTGGTGGGTGAAAAGAGGATTGGGGAAGAAAGAAGGCAAACAATTTAGTCGCTCTTTGGGATTTTCTTCTGTAAGTTGATAAATTTCTAAACATCATGTATATTTGAATATTCGATAAAAAGTACTCGAGGTTTGATTGACTCTGGCGTACCACACAGTACAGAATTTGAGTTAACTCTTTTTTGCAGATTTCTGTTGTCCCTACGAAACATAGTGATTACTCTCATGGTTTGGTACTTGAACGCAGTGGATGGAAAATTGTTTATTCTGCTGACACAAGACCTTGTAAACAGTTAATTGATGCCGGTTAGGAGAAACGGACAAATCTATTCTCTTTTTATTTCGCTGTTTCTCTATTGCATCATTTTTTTCACGAGTTACAAAAGGAAAAATTTTATTGTGGTGGTATGGCCTTATCGAAATATTGCCCAATCACATTAAGTTGTTGCTTGTTTTAGAAAGAGCATTCGTTTAGTTAATAACAGATTTAGATGCAGCAAAATATGTTTTGCTACTTACGACTGGAAGAAGTTTTTTTGAGCTTTAATAAAAGTGAAATCTGCTCTATGTCTGTCTCCCCTGTCCAGGAAATGAAGACAACCTGTTTCACCCCTTATTTGGGCATTTGGCAAGAGCCATCGTGAATAGCGAGATCTTTTCGCAAAGACTGCACTTTTTTGCTAATCTCAAAAAAGTTTATGGTATTGTCAATTATATAACATTATCTTTTTTTGCGAACGCGAATTTCAATGTGTCTTTCGTTAAATATATCGTAAAGGACTCGCGTCGGCAGTTTCTTTCACGTTATCCGTCCTCTGAATATCTGGAAATTCTATTGGTTAACTCTAACTTAATTCCTGAAGACAACTTTTTTTGCCACAATCATTGGAGGAAATGTTTACTTTTTTGTTGCTATAGGTGAAAATGCGACATTACTCATTCACGAGGCTACATTCGATGATAAACTGCTTTACAGAGCGAAAGAAACTGCCCATTGGTAATATAAGTGAGGCAACTCTGTCTTGCTCTTTTTATGTTCAACTTGCTATTTTATTGTCCGTACTCCTTTTTGTAAACCTGTGTGTCTCTCTTATGTAGTACCGTATCTGAAGCAATCAAATGTAGTGAACTGATGAAAGCCGAGTACACGATTTTAACACACATCAGCAATCGACATATTTTCCCCTGTAAATCTTCAAGACTGCCTCATCACGTGAGCTTCGCTTTTGATCACATGACGGTATGTTTCATGTCATGTTTCGATTGGGAGAAAAGGGACAAAATTACGAGAAAGATATTTAAGAGTTAGCTATTTAAACAAACGCTGGCGAATTTGAGAGAAACGAGAATTTGCGTGCCGACGTGTGTTGATCTTAATTAAATTTTCCCTGCAAACTTGCAACTTTCAGATCTCGCAGCCAATCATCGAGATTTAAACTCAGTCAACACTCTCTCGTCATCGCCGTCAACCTAGGCAGCGCATGTCAGTGCTTTTTATTGCAGTTTCAAGCGATTCAGTTTTTTTCTTGCATTGCATTTTTCAAATGCAACTTCAATCAAATTTCCGAGAAATGCATGAGATTGTTCAGAGAAAATTTTATTTTATGACTGATATAACTAGAATACAGTTGTCACGTTTCGATTGGGAAAAAAGGCTGTAAAATTGAAGATTGTACATGTCGAAATTACTGTTTTGCAAAGTATCTGCAAACTTAGCGATCTATTTGATTGGAAGTTTTAATAAAACATCTTAGAAAATTGCAATTTTTGAGTTTTAAAATGGGTTCTATATCGTTATATAGGTGGAGCAAAAAGATCTTAGAAATATTCGTGGAATAATGGCAAATGTTGAGAGAACCGTTGTATACCAATGGAAGAAAAAAAGAAGACAGAAGCAAGCTGTTAAATCTGGGGAGGGGAGGGGAGTGTAAATTTCCCTGATACCAACCAATTGAGCTAAAACAACTGTCAAACTACACATTTCTCGGGAATTTATACAAACCCACCTAAACTCTGACATTTGAAGGGACAGCGAGATGCACAAAGGAGCCACCAAAATCTACATCCAAACTAGACTGGTTAGACCAAACGACGTCTCACAAAAACTAGGGCCTCCCAACAAAATCATCCATAGTTCAGTTCCCCTTCTTTAGTAGTAAAGTTGCATGTTCATTCGTACCTTCCCTAGTCAATTTTTCTGTAAAAAATCCATACGTGTGATACATACGTATGCTAGATGTAACCACATAGTTACCTTAAAATTTGAATGTCCTTTGTTGAATTGTTGTACCTACCAAAGCCATCATTAGAGAATATACATAATATTGATCCTAACACAGTTTTATATGCACATGTGACTGGAGGAGATCGGAAATCGCCCCTTCAGGATACTAGTCGGCTGCTCTACCTGTTGAGCTATCAAGCCCACAGTGATTCCAAGGCCATCATCAGATAATATACATAAAGTCAAAACATTGTGCCATCCAGGAGAACTGCTATTTTGGCAAGAATCTCTTATCCATATGCAGTTTAAAAGAAATTTGACTTGTCTCCAAACCCTGTGGGCAAGGTAACTCAACATGTAGAGCGTCGGACTAATATACAAAGGTATGAGTTCAAATGTGGTCCAAGTCACATGTTTTTCATGTGTATATAAAACCATGTTAGGATTAAATATTTTGTACCTACCAATTGTGTAACTTTTGGTATGAAGTAGTTGAGAGGATGAAGTATGTAGGTTGCATTTGAATTTTCCAAAAAGTCAACTATCCTGAAAACACTCTCCTGCCCACTTAAATTCTGCTCAAACCACTCCCCAGGATTCACCTCCCTGTAATATGTGTCTGTGTGTAGTGTTGCTTAGCCTAACCATTCCAGCTTAACTTGCTTTGATTTTTACTTAAAGTTTCATTTCGTGGCCGAATGTTAATGGGTGAGAAAGTTGCTATACCAGATGGATACAGTGGTAAGATAATGTTGATTAACATGCGTAGTACCTTTTTACTATTGGCTTTGTTGTGTATGTGAAAAAAATAACTTCACTCATTTTACCTTTTGGAACAGTTGCATATTACTGTACCATGTAAACATATAAACATTGATGATCTTTATGTATGTTACTCATCAAGTGGCCTGTGTAGCTAGTCTCTGTGGCTCTCAATGTTGAGGCACAGCATATTCGTAGGAAGAGGCCATCTCAAATGATTTTGAGGTCACTAAGTTAGCCAGCCTTATAAGTTTGGTCATGCTATGTTAATGCTGCTCTTCAAAGTTTTTTGATAAAGAACAAATGTGGCAATATGACAAAAGTCTTCAGCACTTGTCAAAAAATCACATGAGTTTACCTTTTGTACATACGTTGACTCAATAACATATCAATGACATTAAATGCTTACAAATAATCACCAGTGAAGAGTTTCATTTTTCAGCATTATGTATGTATCAAAAGAAGCCCTTATTTGAGAACATGGCTCTCTAGCACATACTTGGGTTTACATGGGAAAGTACAAGCAGTTAAGTGCATTTTTTAAAAGTTAGCAGATGCCTTTTGATTTGGGTCTTCAAAAACTCAACCCAACTTTAAAGAGTTATAAGTTTGTAAATTAAACTTTCTTACATTGCTTGCAGTTGCAGATATATAAAATCATGATATCATAGGGCACTGCAAATTAGTTTTGCTTTGGTTCTCACAATTTCAGAGGTTAATCATGCCCCTAATATAGTCAAAGTTGTTTACTTAGTATCCACCAGGTCTTCTTTAGGTAGTCAACTTTGTAGATTTGGTGACCATGTTACTTTTACATGTATGTAGTTGATGAACTTAGTCAATGGCATCAATCCCATTTTAACGAGGGGGACCGCATTCTTATATTCTGCTATTCCTGGGTAATTTTTTTTCAAAACCATTTCACTTTCTAGAGAAATCAGCCCTTCACAGATTATATGGTTTCCCTCAATTAATGTTGATGCCATGAGCTTAGTACACTTACTAAGTAGACAAGTTAGGTATTCTTACCAAGGGCCTAGGAAGATCAATGATTGGGAGGAGGAATATTCATATATTCATGATAAGAAGTGTTAAGCTCTTTTGAAATCCATTGATTTAAAACGAATATAACATGCTTATATAAATATTGCTATACCCCCCCCCCGAATTATCAATCTTCTTGTTGTCTTGACTTTTACAATTTTGCCAATGACTTTTACTTAGTAGTAACCTTTTCAAGATCTGTTATCCTTTTTGGTTCACAGGAATGAAATGAATCTGTGTAAGTTGTTTATTTCAGGCTGTCTTCTCAGGGAGAATAGTAAACCTGTCACTGATGACCAGGTGAGCCTTCGATTTTAGTGAACAATATATTTTGTCAAAACATTTCATTATTATAATTATAATTTTTTTATAAGTTTCACACAATGTGTGTTTGGTGTATCTTATAATTTTATTGCTCTTTAGCTAATACTGAAACTATTACAAAACTTAATTTTTAGGATAGATCTTTTCGAGCTATAAAAAGATTTTCTGAATTCACACATTGGAATCTTGAGGATAGGCCTTGTTTAAATGACAAGATCAGAAAAGCAATGCAATGGATTTACATTTCTTCAGCGGTGAGAACTTTTTGTAACATTCATCTTCATCAATGTCCATTAATGTTGTAGAAACTTCGGAAACTTTGTATGACGTTTGTCATTGTTTCATGTTTAAATTGCTAGAGGTGGAGATTATCAAATGCATGAAAAACATGTAGATCTATGGATAAGGATTATATGTTTGATATAGATGAGAAGCAAAGTTCGATTTGTGTTATTGTACACAGAACTGTGTTTGGCAGAGAGTGTGTGCTATCCTGGTAGATGTACTGGTACATTGATTTGTAGGCATGATAGGGTATAAGTTAGAGAGTAGTGTTGTGAGTTATTGTTCTGTAAGTTGTGTTTGGAAGAGTGCATCTGCTGTTCCAGTTGTATAAAAGGATGATATGATTTACGTACGTAGGTGAAGAAGCAGAGAGCTATGTTTAGAAGGGAACTTGTGCTAATATAAGTGATTTCAACTGTCCAACTGCTGTAATGATTTAGAAATCGTGATTTACTTTAGGATTTAGATAATAGTGATTTACTTTAGGACTTCAGTCAATCAAAGGTAACTCTCCAAAATAAGATGTGTTTTTGCCAAAATTTAGATACATCAACCTGTGAAGACTGACACTGTTATGGCAAAAATTACATAACAAAGGTTAAAGTGGTAATTTGTAATTCTTACCTCAGGATGGAGAAGAATGATGTTTCAAAATGTTCTTCCTCTGATGAACTAGAAGAAGAATGTACATTTCATTCAATTTCAATTTTTATTGAAATTTTGTCTCAATCATAATTGATCGTTAATCTTTTAGTTCGATTGATTTCAATCCAAACCAAAATCTGTATATAACATGTACATTGTAAAGCTACCATTGGTGCTGCTTTCTTTAACATACGTAGATTGTGGAAGAGAAAGTGAGTTGTGGATTGCTTGTGTTTTGCTGTTTCCTGGTAGAGAATAGTGTTATCTTTTGTCTGCAACACATATACGTATAATTCTTTAAATTACTGCGATCTCGTGGTTGTCTTTTTAATAATATTTTATGAGTTAAAACTTGTGATCGTACGTGAAGAACTAATAGGGTCTTCAATGTGTTCATTTTTTTTACATTTTATATTCTTGTGCGAAAACGTTTTCTGATATGTATACGTTTTCAACGAACAAGTTATCCAAAATTCGTATCATTAATGGACATCATCTTTTAAGTATAGGAACAGTCTGGAAATTATTATACATACGCTTTTTTCATGGGTAATATATCTGGGCCAGGTTTTTTGCAACCCGCTTGTCTTATGTTCTGCTGAAAGCGTAACACACCATTCTAACGCGCGTCACTGTCGACATATTTTCCCTTGTACGCAAATCTTCGTGACTTCATCATCACGTGATACGTTTCAATATTTTCACATGCAATAACATTTATTTATTTGGGTTTAGCTGTTTAATAACTGTTTATGAAGTTAAATGAGTTTTCTCTGCAATGATGAATGGTCTCAAAAAAGTAATCATTCAAAGTTTGCTAAAATTACGGAAAGATATCGTAGTTTAAGATGAAAATAAGCATTTTTTTGCCGATTGCATATAGACATTTGCCTATCGTTTTCAAAATTTAACGCTGTTCTTTATTAGAAACTTTAAATAACGACAAACAGCAACGGCGAAAAACACGTTCCAGCGGTTAAGGAATATTCTTGAGTTCTCGGTACGTACCGAAAATTTTTAAATGTTTTCTACGTCATCGTGTGTACTATCTATCAATCTTATACATAAAACAACATATAGAAATTTCTTTAAAATCCTAAATTTCTAAAAATCCTTTCTTTATGTATCTGGAGATCACTGCATTAAACTATTGCTAGAATACTGGATATGCTGCATTTTAAGCTACATAACTATTTTGGTGGAACAAATTCTCTTCGTATGTCGTTCTACATCACTTGCCAAGATATTTAAGCTGGAAACAAGTTTGCATTTATCAGAATTAGAGCGTGTTTCTTAGCCCTCGTTCGAAGATGGTTAGAAATAAACGTGTACAAATGTTAATCGCGAAAGTAGGGCCAAGAATATGTATTTTATTACTCTACTCCTAGTGTGAGTAAGTTCATTTAAGAATGAATGGGATTAAAGACAATGTAGGAAATTATCGTCTTTTATCGAATCAAAGAGGAAAAGAACTGACATAAGCAGTATGGATTATTATTCTTTGATACCAATTTACCAATACCAAGTGTGCAAATTTATATCCCACAGTAATCGTTTTAACGTTTCTAGGAACGACGTAAATTGAACACATGAATGGTGAGTATTATTTTGAAAGCACAAACATCTGTAATCATATTTCGGAAATTAGCAGAAGGTTTAAACAGCTGGTTCAGAGTCGCTTCGCATGGTAGTCACGGTGGGTACGTTGGGTATGCAGAAAATGCAATAAACTCATCGTCAAATGACACTAACGAATTCCTGGATTTGTTTATTCGTGCAATATACTAGTAACGTTTGATATAATGTATTTCTGATGCAATACCGAACTTGATTAAGTTGTTTGAATTATTTTGTCTTTGACTACAAGCAATTGTAACAAACAAAGATCTTTGTTTTGGACAGAGGAAACATTTTAAAAACTTTGCATTTAAGAAGTTGTTTTCAGTCGGTCATGTCATCCAAATAACTGTTGTAAAGTATCAAAAGAAAATTACCACAGTTTTACGTAAATTCTTCCTTTAATTTTGCAGGGATGTCGGAAGATTGATGATAGGGGGGGGGCTCGCATTCATATGTTAATTCCTAATCACCATTGATTTCAATAAAAAGTAATAGGCAATATGCTGTATTTATATGTTCAAATATGCATTGATAATGAGATTTTACTTAAAACGAAAGTATTATAACAAATAGAAACATATCTTTCGCGTTTAGTTATTGCTGCTACCTGCAATATGCCGTTATATTGCTATCACTCGAGAAAGCTAAACCTGACATATTTTTTGAAACAAAAAGAAAAGATGTAAAGCATTTCAAGCATCAAAAGAGATGTTGAGGGAGTGATTTATGTTGCTACGAGGATTGCAAAGAACTCTGGTTGACATGACTTAATTGTTCAACCTATCACAACCAATCAATTTGCTTGAATCTAATATCAAGTAATTATAATCAACTGTCTATATGATTCTACAACCACTAACATTTTTTCCCGAACTATCAAAGAAAAAGTAATTTAGTGACGAAATCATATAATATGGTTTTTTAAGTTGATAGCCCGATTGTTATTATATTATTTCCAGAAAATTTGTAGAAATGGTTAAATCATGTTCTCTATCAGCTTTCTGTATTACATACATATGTATTTTACCTCCGTGTGACTGCAATATTTTGTAAACTAACTTCGTCTGCGTTATATTTGACATTTAGAGAAGGATGTGATGATTGGTGACGCATGTTAAAAAATTTAGTGTTGCATATATAAAGCTTGTTCGTAAAATAATTTTAAGGATTTTGGGATATTGGCGTAAAGTAAAAAATTGAATATTAACCCTGTTGCAAACTTAGTTTTTGAAGTAATTTTATAATTTGAATTAGATGGCATTCGTGAAGCTTTTCATGAACAGATCAGTGATAGACATTGACTTTCTTTGAAGCTGTTATTTGAAGCAACTATAAAAAGTATTTGTCATACTTTTCTTTGTCAATTTAAAAGGGTTTTATGTTGTATTATAAAAACCTCGTCAAATTTATCTATATGTGTGGTTTCATCCTTTATTGTTGTGATCACGTTATTTTCTATGAATTAAACGTCAAAGTCGTCGTCGTTAGTTTCTGCTATAGAATTATTCTTGATAGATCTAAACGTGGAAGTTGTATCTTTGATAAGAACAATGAAGAAAACTGTAAAAAAATATCGATAATGTTTATTGATGGTTTTCTAGAAGGAGCTCTTTAATAATTTTCAATTATTAGGAAACCAGATTAATGTTTTGTGGCCTAATCACACTTGCTTTGGAAGTACAGCAAAGAGATATCAGCTGTGGTTGCTTCTTCGATTTCTGGAACGTTGTTAGCATTATTGACATCTTGACAATTGATGTAGAAGCGTTGGGGTAATTGGTAGGTGGGATTGGTCATTATAAAATTGAGGATGATAAATTAGATATCATGATTTTTCTTCTAGTGCTACAGCTAAGTGTGAACGAGACTTCCCGTGGCCCTTAGGGAAGAGTTGAGTCAGACTTTAGTTATAGTAAACATGTGATTCCGGATTGATGGTCTAATACAGCGAATATGAACAAGTAAAAAATTATTGGTATGTTGTTCACCGAATTGTAAAACTGGAACGACAACTCTTATACTTTTGTCACGTGATAAGTTGTAGCCATGCAGCATACTTCTAAATTTTGTAAAGTCGTCTCTGAAATAATGCATGTATTTCAGGGGGCCCAACGTTTGTTTTGAATTTAGGCAAGAGAATGCAGGCAAAAAAATTTATTTAGTGTTGTGGTTTTTTGAAAATTTTTCTGCATTGTACCATGACTAGCTTATATATGACAGGATATTTTCCGAAGAAACATAACCTGCTAGAGTCTTGGATGATCCAAGTATCCAACAAATTATTACCAATCGGATAAAGATAAAAATAGATAAAACATTCTCAACATTATTTGCAACTATGTTAAAACGATTTTGAGCATCATTCATGTCTTTGTACGTTTGAAAAATATTCATTGAGTCTTTGCATTTTTCCCAGTTTTATTTTTTGCTTTTATAAACTATATCCATCAAGCATACTTGTGGTATGTGATGCGGCTCATTTTCTTTTCCTCTTTATCTTTCTTTTTACACACAACACTCAAAAATTGGGCGTTGTGTGCATCTTATATGTTATTGGTTTCTAAAAATCAAGTCAGTAAAAAGCTGTCAGTAATGTTTTAAAAACGTATTGGATTTTCCTAAGAAGCTATATAGTACATACTCTTCATTCCCGTTGGCATTAACATCCCTTCCGCACATCAATCCGTGTTTGAATTGATCTTTTGAGCCATTAATTTCCATTGAATCTGAGAAGTAGAAATATAACTGCATTTACTTCCACATTCCAGGATTAAATAAAGAAATCATCATGAATACAATTTATTATCTTCATAATTATATTGAGCCTAATCCTTTTCTTTCAGGAATAAATTTAACAAGAAGCGATATAGCGAGAATGTTTTACACAACCTAAGTGACACACGATTTCAAAAGAAATCACTCGAGCACAACTGTATGTATGAATAAATTACCCCCTTCCCCAACAAACGTTCTACCGCCGTCCTTGGGCAAGTCTTATCTACTCTACAGGATGGATTTCCAATCCATCAGGTAGCTTTCCATATGATAAAATACATTACAATAAACGTAAAAAGTGGGATTAGAAACTTTCCACAATTGTATGATTAACGTCTTTAATAAACAACTAGTCCAAAATTCACCGCCCGTGAACATCTTTAAGACTAATATAGGAACGGTTTGTAAATTAACATAATATATGAGCTCTGCAAAGTGGGTTGTGGATTATATCTGTGAATATTATTATATATCAAGCTATTTTCTGCATGAAAGTCTTCTTTGACTTCCAGTGATGTTTTAGCTACATATCTCGAAAATTTTATTTGAGACGAGCAACTCCTCCTTAAATTCATTCCACAAGGAAATCTTTCACACGAGTTGGAGCTGTCCGGAAATCCGTCATCTACTTATTTTAATAAAAAAATAGAACCACAGACTCATTAACTCAACATGTTTTTACAGGAGAATACTTTCGGATGTGTTTGGGTCTTATTTTAAATCATTTTTTCCTCGTCAAATTGAATGAATAAATTCTTTTTCAACTTTTTTGGGTGAATTATTCATCATGAGATGTCATAATCACATGAGTAATTTCTGATTTACTAAGGTAAACATAAGCGCCAGATTTGCAGAGAAAATGTACTTAAGAAAAGAGATAAAGAACATTCTGGAACTCCACTTATTTTATACCATCAACATCCTCTCTAAAACTTTCCTTTATTTGAGGAATTTCGTCGACACGACACGACACGACACCTGCCTTGATGGGACCGTCTATTTTGGGGGGAAAATGCAAAACAGGATGCCATCGATTTTATATTAGAGCAAAAATGAAAACGGATGTCTAAGTGACATTGCTGACGTTCTCAATACTCATCAAGTGGAATTTTCTTCAATTATGAAATCTTCCATCAAAAGGCAAATGAAAACACATGTCTTGCAAATAGTATCACTGACGTCATCTTCGACCGCCAAACTGAACGATAAACATTCCAGACATTTCCGATTAGGTTTATAGATGATCTTCAGGATTGAACTCGATGGTTATGGTGTGAAGAAGTGTTTTTGACGCAATAAAGTGTTATCATAAAAGGATTTTTGTTTAGTGCTATGTTTTCAAATACACTGAAGTCCTTAGCAGTGTCAAAGACTATTTATTAGAAGAAAGCATCAAAGATGATACATATACCTAAAATCTTTATGTAAAATTCCACAAGAAAATGTGACTTATTTGAAATCATACCAAGATACTGGTCTTCCTCTTTACCCATGCTACCATGCCATCAGGTTATTAGAGATGAGTCAAAACTTGTGTGGACTGCAAATGAAGGAGGCATTCTCGTTACAACTATGTTATATCTTTCTGACATATGGTATTTCTAATGTAGCTACAAACTCAAATCTCATTTAAGCCACATGTTGTTCATTGGCTTTTAGCAGTGTCTGAATTATTGTTCTGATTCTCACTTGATGGTCTGTTGATGGAAGACGCACTCATGCGTCAGTCAAAAGCTTAGAAATTTTTTTTGTTCTTTTTTCGACGTATTTACTGCCGCTCTCGCGTTTATTAATATCTATATTGGGTAAATAAACATTATTTTAAATGAATCATGAATGGGAAAAATCAGGAAATAATCAAAATTTGCACTATTTATGGAATATTAACACCAGTTTATGTGTGATAAAGCTGATTTTTTGCTCTAATTCTCGTGATTATCCTTTCTAATGCGTGTATTAAACCCTCGTGCTTTATGAACGTGATGTCATATCGTGATCATTTGTCTAAACTAACTAAACCCTACTTAACAGGTGTACTTTGACTCCTAATAACTTGTAGAACTAGTGGAGCTATAAAAATTTCATTAGATTAGCATTGCATATTTCTTTAGAAATATATTTTGTGGGTAGCCACTGCGCATGCGCGGCTAACCACCAAAAAGTGTCCATCTGTCTGTTCGTCGTAAACCTCCGTGATAGCCGATATACGAACGATGGCGAACAAAATAGCTTTGTCGGGAAAATATCGTGAGTTGTTTTGCTATCAAATTTTCATTTCATTCGACATAAAAACAATGACAATGAATTGAAGCGCATATGTATATCATAGTATGAATGTAATAATACATTTGCTATGTGTGAATTGTGAAGCTTCTGTCCACGTACATACATGAAAGATCAAGCAGAAGTTATTTGCAATAAGCACAGATTCGTTGGTGGCATAATCCTAAGAAAATGTTGAGAAATATTAACTAAAAACATCACGGATTCATGGGATGAACAAAGGAGCAATTTACTCTTCACAAAACTTCATAAAAAACTACTAAATGAAAGCCAAGATATTATTAAAAAGCCGTCAAACATTGAAAGCAAATGAATTTATTTTGCTTTCGAATATTGTACGAAATACAAATGTTATTTGTGTGGATTGCCGGTTTACAAGTTTACATCAAGTGAAATATGAATCGTGTCAAACTATGAACAGGAAATACAAAAGATTTCCGATCACTTGCAACGCGCAAAGCGTTTACTTTCAAACATTGTTTCCAATTAACACAAAATCGTAGAATATGTAGACTTTTCAAGATGTGATTATAAAAAAATAGCAATAAACAGCACAGCCCGTTACCTCAAAACACAAGTGTCTATGTAATCATGTTAAGTTGAGCTAAGTACTATAATAAAAGTGTCTATATATGTAATGTAATACATGTCATAAGCGTGTTGTGTTGATTTATCGTTTACACACACTCCAGAAAACGTTTTTGAAACACAATTATAGTAAAAAATTTTTTTGTGAAAAAACCTTTAAAAGTCGCGAGAACTCTAAATGACGTCACTTTCGTTGATGTGAGACTTGAGCACAGTCACGTGACATCAATCTTAGCTAGAGCGTTTGAAAAATGCAGAAAGGGTTAAAAATTACTTGGTCAGAAAACTAAAGAACATTTTGAAATTGTAAACAAGTTTGACGTAAATTATATTAAATATATAATTTTATTCGACTTATACTTATTTAATCTACTTCATTTGATATTTATATACTCGACAGACTACCCACATGTACGCACTGCGTGCCTATTTTTCTTAAAGAGTTTGACATTTGTATTGCATGATTTAAAAAAAAGCAGGCTGGCTTTGTCACTGCTTCTCTTCTTTACACTCATTTTCCCCTAAAACATACACGAAACGTCGTATAAAATTGATACAACGTAAAATACAGATTTTCGTATGTTGCCGCGAGATTACACAAATAACGCGGACTGGCACGAAGTCTTTGACTTAACACTGCTCTAGAGTAGCTCAAGTTAACGCCTGATAAGCGCCTTATTGTTTTCTAAAAACAACCTAAAAACATATCAATGCAAAATGTCATTTGTGATTAAAAGTGTAGATGGCAGACTGGCATGATGACTTTGGTTATTCGTGGTATTTAAGATGTAAACATGTTTGTTATATTTTATGACAAATAACCAAGTCTTTTTGTGTGTGGTGGAGGAAAGGTATTTGCTGCGGCATATTATAAATATTTAATAAGATATTGGAAATTTTGCGCGAGAAAAGCTTTGTTTTCTGTGCTTTTGCATCAGGAACGACGTTGTTTAGTAGCTTAATTCCAACAGAAAACGTCAGCAAAACGTTGGACATAAGTAGACTGAAAAACCCACGCAAATTCAGAATCAAATGGAAAATGATCACAATACATAACAAGGAAATCCGCATCTACAAACAAGGAAATCCGCGCCATAAGTCCTCCGACTCATCTTAAAGTATTACTTAAGTTAATAAAGATAATTATTGGCAATCTTGAACTGTTTGTTTTGTCGAACAATACTTGCACTTTAACAACAAACCATTTACCATATAAGCATTAAGCAAAAGGCTTTCGTTCACAGCCCACGCAAAAAACATATACATTTCGGTTGTTTTTGACCCAAATCTGATTTCTGACTTGAAACAAAGGGTGAATAAAGTTCTCAAACATTTTATCCGTTCATTTCATTTCGCCGAGGGTCATAAACGTAATTTCATGAAGCACATAACTCACGTTAGTGATGGGCAGACAAGCAGTCTAGAGACACCTATATAGCTACGACGTAGACGTGACAGAAAAACGGACCAAAGGACTGATCGATCTTCATAAATTTTTAAATCATCAATGATTCCGGGCTCTGTTATTCGAATGCACACCAGCATTTAAACCATTCAGCTCGAAATCATAGTTTTTGGTTCATTTACGATTAGTTTTTAAACTTGAGCAAGCAGTTGAATCTCTTTATGCTAATCTAATTAAACTACTTCGCTTAGCTTAAAAAGGATCAGACCACAGCTTTCTTAATGTTGTTTCTATCTCGACTTTTGAATCATCGTTTCACTGTTCGTTACGAATGTTTACGATTACAAATGTTAATAGAATGTTAAGCTGAAAATGATTTTGCCATAATGTGCTTTCATGGCAGTCGTGTTTGATTGGATTACTTCAAAGCTCCAATATTTAATTAAGTATAAAACCAACGTAAATTCTCTTTATATAATGAGGTTTGCTGTCAACATAATTTTCATATCGTGTTTGCCCAATTGTGAAAAAACCTCCTGCACTTGTGCTTTTGCAATTCCTTTCAGGAGTTAAGAAGTGAAAAGACTGAAAATACGAAGGTATGTTAATGAAAAAATCTTTTTCTTACAAATCTGCCTTCAACAATTATTATATAAAGCGGTATTGAATTTGACTATATGCATTGTGCTCAATAGAATCAATAGTTTTATCACAATAAATCATCAAAAATTAATTAAGCTAAGAAAAAGCAGCATCTAATAAAAATGTGCAAACAACATGGTTTCGCTGATAGCAACTTTGTAGAATACGTAGAGGTCAGAGCAGCCGATGAAATTTATCATAACAATACGATTTTATTGCGTCATAACTTCTACTGCAATTAAAATAATTATTATTATTATTAAATAAACTTTAGTGACTTTAAAGTTAGAGAAGCTACTACGAAGACCGAATGCGAAGCTATCTTTTCAATTAATATCTGTCAAAAGCACTTTTAGTTGAAACGTACAACTGAAAAAAAAACAAATTGGTGCTAAAATCTTCAGTCTAGACGTGATTGGGACTGCTGTTTTTCATCATTGAACAAATATACCACCAACGTATTATCAACAAATACTTTTCTAATTTCTTGTCCTAGAACAGAATCAGTTAGCGTTTTGGTAGAAAAGACATGAATAATTTACTGCTTGTAAAATATTTCCACAAGAAGGCTGTTGGTTATCAATTGTAAAACAATAAAGTATGATGAATTGTTACAAGGAATAATATTAAGTATATTCTCTGATGATGGCAATGATGAATTGTTTGAAAAGATGAAGATATTCAAAATCAGCTGAATTTTACTTGAATTGCCCTACGCTATCACTGCAACTGCATTTATCTATGGTCACAAGTAAATATTGAAGTACTGATTAACAATTCCGATTTGCTTAAAAAAGGGATGATGAAAAATGGTGAAGCTATTCCGCCAAAGTTGATTTTGGTAATGTGACGTATCATTCTTTAAAATCAATTTATTTAATGATGTCAGGCATTTGAAGATTTCAATGACCTGAATGAGCTTCCGTGTGATTTTGGCAGAAGTTGACAACGTCATAGCAACTGTCTTAATTAGTCAGAAATTATGTCAAATATAGCTTGACGAAAATTAGCAATTAATGAATGATTGAATGATGCAAGGTGGTTTTTGCTATCTTTCAAAAACTGACTCTATTGAAATATGATGCATTTCCTGTAAATGAATAGACAGTTAGATGCCTGTAGAGAATTAAAATTGCTTTGAGAATTCTAATTAAGGTTTTAACCAATCGCAATCTCGATTGCATCAGCACGGCGTAACAGTTGTTTTGGCTAGTAAGCATTGAACAATTTCACCTACGCACGATTTAGAAATCAAACACTCTTTCCACGCGCACGTTCTCAAAGATGGGAGCGTAACGTCACTTACATATTTATAATCACAATCTTAACCTCGAATGCACTCTAAATCTTTAACAAAGAAGCTTTTTGTCTTGACAAATTTCGCACGGGGAAATCGCTGAGTCCCAGGGTTAAGTATAGGTGCATTGAAACTACTAGAATGTATTTTAACAATGTTGAAAACAATCAAAAGCTGCTGGAAGTGAATTTAAGGAAATATGAAAGCACGCGTTTAAATTGAAGTAAAATCTGTTTTCTTTCGTCTTATGCAAATTCAAATTTCTATGTGACGAGAGCAGGAAAGGCGTGGACAATTACAGTCAATTACGTTCGTGCCTGTTTCTTGTGACTCGTGCATGAATAGTAAAAATAGACCGATGATGAATACTACAAAATAACTAAGCCTTGTGACCAACAATGAGATAAAAGATCATATCTGTTCAACGACGTGAAAAGGCTCTATTCAGCCATGCGAGCTCTTGACTTTTCCGCTTCTATATATTCTTGCAATGATTTACGTCAATTAATTTCATTGGTCTGCCGATAGAAAAGTTTAAAATTTATATTGCGCTACACCAATATAGCTAACTTTTATATAGCTGCACAATTGTTCGATGTATTCAGCAAAATGTTGCCATTAACATAAGACTTTACTCTCTAAGTCGCAGTCAGTTTAACATTTGTTTCGCGCGTAGTTTCCCTCAACATCATGCATTTCATTGCAAAGTTCTTTTGTTGTGTAATCATAATATGCTTTTACGCTGGCTTTGGAAATTGATTTAACAATGAAATATATTTTGCAAAGAACGTTTGAAAGAACTTTGCAACATTGCCCGCAAAGTTATGCTAAAATTGGCTGTAAGGCTGTAATACAACACATCAAAGAGATAAAAGAAAAAGAATTCTATATGTACTGCTACACAGGTTTGTCCTTATTTTAAGTGAATATAGAATAAATTAATGAGATAAGGTTTGACAACTTTGATATTAACTAAGCTGTGTTCCTGCTGTGAATTTTTGTAGCTTTGTATTCTTGACAACTAAACGACTTCATCAAGTTGTCGCAGTACGGAACGACGTCAAACCAGCTTTTAAAAAATCATATTCACGTTAAACTTGTTTGGTGCTTTGTGCTTTCGACATGATTAAGTATTGACTTACCAAGCCAATCATTGTCTTTGATAAATGGACGAAAGATTTTGGTTATGAATTCCACTTTTTCAAATATTGCTTGTTTTTGGCAAGCGATTTTTTTCTAGAATCTTCCATTACTGTTTGTAAAGACGGAAAGACACGATACAAAAAATCTTATTAATTCAGTTCAAACTGTTAAGCACAACTCGAGCGTTTATCTCATGATTATGCTTAAGCAAGTCATTTTGATACAAATTTGAAAACGGGCACTGTCGTAAATTTGTAAAACTACAATTTACATGTGCAAAAAGAGTGTTTTACACTTTTAACAGGTGGAAACTGTACCGAACATTTTGTCGATAGCAAATAAAGTAAAGATGTAATCTCTCTCGTGTTAGCGTGTTTCATAAAGTGTGTTGTTAAAGTTTTCTTATTTGATTAATTTGAAGCATTTATCCTTTATCTGAGTTCTTGCTTTTGCACACATGCTCCCAATTATATACAACAATAATCAGTCGTTGTAGAAACGTATACAACACTAAACCATTTAACGGAAGAGACTTTGAAAGACATTAAGTATTTAAAACCACGCAGATGAACGTAGAGTTTGTCGTTTGTTGTGTAAACAGAATACTTATTTATACCTTATGTACATACGGAATGCTATCATCAGGCAATTATATGTGCGTTTAATAGAATCTTTAAAAAGTAAGGTGATACAGTTTAAACGCTTGTCTTTCCTCCTTTGAGAGCGTCAAATTTTGTCTTTTTACTAAAAAATCATTGTCGGGTAAATTTACCTACGAGAACTTGTTCAAGAAAAGTGCATATCTCACTCGAATTATTTAATTAAACGCTTTCTTTGTGACGCTGAAAAAACATCGCCTTGAGATAATTCACACTTGTTCTACGACATAGTGAAATTTGTGATTTTAAATCGCAAGATGCATGTATACGTGTTAAGAATGGGGAGGAGCAAATCGGAAATAACTTCGAGCTTTTTGACTAAATACAATTTGCCAGGAAAATTGTTGTATTAAAGGTTTCTCGTCCGGCGTGAGAGTAACCTATCACTAATGGAAAGCAAGATTTTTTAGACTGTGTTTTGTCATTGACATAACATAAACCCACCATTGGTCTCAATATTAAATGCACCAAATTCAGGGATTTATTTCAATTTCTACTCTTGCGAAAATTTTGTGGCTATATGTAAAAGCTCCTTCCCACAATATTGCTCTAACTACCATACAACAATCATCATCAAAATTCGTATAATACATTCATTAAACCAGTTTCTGCTTAGAATAGGCAACTAAGCCAAAATTGTAGTTAAAATTTAAGAAAAATGTATAGTTATGTCACGTTTGGTTTTCAATAATCATAATCATAATCCATCTTCAAATCTTCAATCTTGAGTAAGTAATATAGTTTTTGTTCACATAGCTTCCGCCAAAGGCTTCAGGTTTGACTTCAACTTTCAAGATCTTGGTATCGGCCTTTGTGACTTTTAAATGCTTTTCTCTTTTGCTCAGATCATTCAAAGTTACCGATGTTTCGCTCCTTGCAAGGCTCCCTGTAGAACAAAAAAACTACATCTTTCATTGGCTTATTTTTTCAGACCGGTGAAGATCAAAAGAGACGTCGGTGTCCATTTCAAAGTTATACGCGCTTTTCATTTTCTTTGAGGATACTGTGTACACGCTTTACACTGGTCGGATCATTAAATATATTATATGTAATTTTTGTAAACACCCAGTTAAATGAGAATAAACATTTTTTATTCCATGAGAGACCATTAGGCGATATTCCTTGAAATACAAAAGAGAATGTGAAAAACACGAGATATTATGGCAAAGCCTGAATTGAGCAACGCCCTACGTGCGTAAATGTCTTATTAAACAAATTGCTTATCAGAGCTGTTTTGCCGATAAATATTATAAGTAAATATCTGTCTTTACCCCCCGTTGCGCGCCTTGTTCGAAAACCATACCCACTCGTCAACATTGTCAAAACAAGAATAATTTCAAACGAATACCTCATTGGCTAATCCTGATTATACGCTTTTATAAAATTTAAATGAGACTTCGGGCGATAATTGTCATTCATCCGTTTGTTACCATATTGATCGAGCAGTTGATAACAGCTATTCATAGAGATAAGATATAAAGAAATATTCGTTGGAACATTTGCCGTGTGTAGTGGCCATACTAGAAATTGTGTGTTATAAACTATCGTTTACGTGTAAAGAATTGGAAAGATGCTTTGGTTCGCGAAATGTATAATAGCATTAGTCTGTTATTCTGTTTTGTTTGTACCCATTCCCGACGTTGAAGCTAGAAGAAAGCGAAAATGCCCATCGTCGTGTTTGCGAAAGATTCGCGAGATTGAAAAGGTCAGTTTAAAAATGCGTCAAAATAACAGTATGGTCTTTGTTGTTGATGTCATTATACGGCGTGTGAAGCGAGTTTGTATATTGCTCGTAATGTACACAGGGTTTGAAATTTCAAATTGAGCCCATCGCATGTGTCACTGTTTGCACTGAGAATTTGTTTTGAACAGGTAAACGATGCTGTGATTAAACGGCACAACACATGTTTTCAATTTGTTATAGAAGCGCTTGTACGGCCGTGTAACTTCTATCGAACGCATGTATTTGTTACATTTGGCAGTCCGAATTTCAATTTTTACAATTTTATTGCTCACAGCGCTTTTTGGAATAAATGAAGGTGTTAAGAGCGCTGTTGGTGTCAATAATAGCACTATTACGTTATTAATTTAGCTTGACATAAATGCGACAGAAAGTAACGATTTGAAATCTTGCACTATTTGTGAACGCTACCTTTTTTGACTTCACAAAGTCGACCGAATTCAATAATTAGTCGTTAACGCCATTCAATTTGAAAATTGTAGCTCTGTTACTAAAACTTTTCATCGTCGTTCCCTACACACATGTTGATATATTGCACTTCAATTTACTGTCGCTTTTAAACTGTCCACGAGTCGATATGTTGATAATTTAAGGACCCTTTCATTAATCACACACGAGTCTATATAATGGTTTGCCTTTCCTAGTAGTCAATTTTATGTATTATTTTGAAGTCGAATATCTTTGTGAGTCAAATCAAAGGGCTTAAAATTCCTGTTAATCTTCTGGGACACTTTTCATTTAATCTTGTATACAACAGCACAACAGATTTCGCTATTTGTTAACAGGCCACAGGAAGTTGATATTTTGCAGCAATGCAATTAATCTTCAGTATTGTTGGCCGGCCTCGTACTTGATTATTGTGAGATGCGTTGTCTGTTCAATATACCCGTGACATTTCGTTACCTGCATAGTAACGATAGCTCTTGATGTCGCACTTAACATCATCACGAATGCCTTGCTGATATCTGATTTTCTATTGTATTCAAATTACTGCTAGCTTTACTTTCTTTATGAACAAGGTGAAAGCGCTAGCCGAAGATGAGCGCTATTGAATGCACGCACATGAAATTATTTTTTCATTTTTTTATCAGATGATTAAATTTACAAACAGGTTTTTTCGTTAATAGTTCTGGAGCTTTCGCGCACTTTTAGCTGTTTACGATAGAAAATTGGGTCTTAATTAGTTATAAATATGTTTGACTCAACGCGATTTTCATATATATAGTTTTGTTGAAATTTATCCAGTAAAAATGGCTATGACTGACTCGAAACGAGTTACATAATACATAAATTTAGTTTTAATATCTATTATCCTACTATTTCCATTAAAAAACATGGGATGTTTGGGCGTTGCTTGTTTTGTCAAAACATTGCATTCCACTACATTCAACCAATTTTATATTTGTTATCACTATATATATATATATATATATACACATACACATTTTACCTACGAAGTGGCTGATACGGGTAAAAATTTCGCTTATATTTTTATTAAATATTTTTTGATCAAAACCAATTCTGGAGTTGCTATTGAGTATGGTTGGACTAGAAAGAACCGGTAATTGGGTATTGCGATTATGTGACTGTCATTTAACTAGCATGTCATTTGCGCATGTTTTGCCAGTGGAGAACAATTAGATTATGTCAAATATGTAGCCAAAGAAAATAGCACGTATCATGTTTGAATTATCCTTAACCTCGGCTTATACATAATCACCTTGAGATAACAGTTTATCGTTTGCCTCAACTTCATGTCTTTCAACATTCCACAAAATATCCCTTCCCATAGTAAAAGTTTAGATCGGCAGGCGTAGGATATAGGACAATTGATTGTTTATGCTTCAGACGTGAATGTATCGAAAAGTAAGCCAAAAAAGTAAGCATTTTGAATTTTTGATGTTTTTAGATATGTTCTTTAAAACATTCCCCACGGCATGGCTTAAGCCGAATTGTTGTATTTTAAAAATGAAGTCCCGCCTGTTATAAAGATTATTTAGGTTAATTCTGCCCTGCACCGTTATCAAACTAGCCAACTGAGAGCCTCTTGCTGAAATTAAAAATATGACGACAGACACAAAAGAATTTTAATTATGCAGCTAATTTACACCTTCAATTCAAACTTTTATCATTTTCCATCTGATAACGGCGACCAATGGTTTTGCTTAATTATTTCATTCATTCTGATATTTGCTTGCTAGGAAATTTTCGATGTGTAATGACAGAACTTCGTAAAAACCAGAGCAAAACATCAGCAAATTTCATGTCGCCATTGTTATCATGCAAATAATTCTTCAGCATGACAACAAGTTCACACATTATCAGCAGGCGCACATGTAAGCCGAGGATTCCTTATTCATGCAATTTTCTTTCGGTTCAATCGCATTATGTTATTGACCTTGTGTGTTTATGACAAATATTGTTTGATGAAATGTTGAAATTCGGTTCAAAGACAGGTGTCTGCAATATTTATGCTTCATCATGTGCTGCGATTGTTTTCACAAGAGTTATTTTTGGTCGGGCTTTTTTTTAAGTTGCTCGAATAAATAAGATTCTGCTGATATTATTGTGGACTCCTCGGAACCAATTAAGTACTAACATATTGTGTTCGTTTGGCAATAATTGCATATATATAATAGCATGAATAATTACCGCCCTTCCCTCTTCATTTTTGCACATATTTTATCGATGATTCAAACTTTTGTCCCCAACTGACTTTGCCCGGTTTCTCCGCCCGTTTTCAAAGCATTTTTATACATATGAAATACATTGCAAGTTCTAAATGTTATTGTTAAATGAGGCTGGTAGTTGCGTTGAGCATAAGAATAGTAAAAATTTTTTTGTTTATCATAGCTATGTAAATTTAGGCTTTGAAAGTGTAGTTTTAGTTCTTTGTTTTCGATGATGACAACTTTCTTATTGTCGATACTGGCTTTTGTATTTTACTTTTTCGTATATACTAAAGATACAGTTATTGCAATTTAAATGCATCGGCAAATGAGCCTGAAAATCCTCACTTTTAGAGGCAATAACTAAAAGTAGAGACTTTTCTTTTGTGGTCACGAGTTATTTGTCACCTAAGCAATCTGTTTGTAATGCAGTGTTTTTGTTTTAATTTTCTTTCACGGTAATTGTTATAGGAAGTAGCTTCTTCATATTTTCTCATAAGCGTTCGTTTAAAAGTATTTATAATATTCTAGTCATTTCCACCAGTTGTCGGGCCAAAATTCTTTAATCTTTATGAAATATGCCAGCTTTTAATTAATCTCACGCGATTCTTGTGTGTATGTTATAATTTATGCTGGGGCTGCTTGCCAATTCAATTTAATTGACATATATATCAATGAACGCCCCCCACACGCCCGTGACGCGTGACTTCCACTTGATGAGTCATTTTATATTGGACCTTCTTTTTACTGATAACATGTCTAATTTTATAAAAAAAAGTAGAAATAGAACTGCTGACAGGCAAAAAGTCACGATTGTATAGGCTACCTCATTTCCAATTTTAGAAACTTAGTTTCGAAATGCTGAGCTCGTGATTTTGTTATTGTTGAACAATCTTCTATGAGAAGAAATATTTAAACGCAATCTTAAGATGATAATTATAGATGCTAGTATTCTATTTATAAAAGTTTATTCATCTCTAAAAGACAATTGTCTTTAATTATTCTGAATTTATTTTGAGAACTCGAAATTTCATTATTTGTGTAAAGTTAAATTTGGAAACTTAACCGTTGTTACTAATCTGAGGTTTTGCAATTTTTGATGCATCTAAGGTATATTAACCTTTGGAAGTTATATTTCCAAAATTAATTTAACAGTTAGAATTATTCAAACTTCCTATTAAGTGCACCATAGTGCGTGGTAGATGTAATATGTTCATTTCAGTATAAAATTGATCACATATATAATGGTTTATTTAGCTATTAGACTATAGCGTAACAAGAAGAGGGTGTCTTGAACTCTTTGCTCTTCTGTTCTAAGTGCTCTGCAGTCTGCAGTGACATGACAGATCTCATTTTTTGAAATTTTTTGCTGTCAATCATAAGCTAATCACATGATATTAGGGTGCAAAATTATTCAAATAAAAAAGATCCAACACGTCATATACGCATGTGTTATGTAGCTAATGAAAATAATTCGATCAGAAAATATAAAAAAGTTTTTTGTGTGTTTTGTGTGAAAGACAGCTTTCAGGTTCTAGTTATATTGTACTCTAAATGCACATAACAAATCTAAAGAATTTAGATCAAAAAAATAAAAGAATTTGGAAATAAAAAAGACATAATTTTAGGACATTAATTTAACATTTGACTCAGACACTAAATAAGTTTAGGCTATGTCCTATTGAAATCTACGTTTGTTTTTTTAAGCTTCAGGAAACTGGGTTTTTTTGTTTTGTTCTATCAAATCTTTAGATTGTCTTATCTTGATCTTCCCGTTTTTAATCGTAATCTTTATGCTAAGTACATTCTTGTTATTATTCCTTAATTTAGACAAAGTTGCTTTTTAATTTTTCATGAATAGAGTTTAGGTGTGTTGAATTTTTTTGTGAAAGACATGGGTCTTTTAAACTCAACCCGTGTGTGCTTTTTTAGCACATAGAGAACAGTTGATGTATAAACTTTTACTATAGTATCAACTTTATGTAAAGGCCAATGTGAATATTTCATAAAAATACATGCAGTATTTAAAACTGCCAATAAGGCATTAGCGTGTTATAGTGTCCTTGACGCCTTTTACAAAGTCACACGTAGATTTCAACATCGCATTTTTGAAGGAGTTTATGCTCAGGAAATTACGCTTGTCTTTTCATAATATTGGATCATATGTGTCATTAAAAAATTTATCAAAACACAAGGAATTTCCTTTTAACTAACCGAATACGATTAGCTATATTCCTCCTTTTTTTCTGAAAAAAACAAGTCAATTGAGTTAACGTGTGTGTCAACGATGTACGT